TCTTGGGATGAAATAAGCTATAACAGTGCAGCTATCAAGCACTATTGGAATCAGTGGGATCGCATTGTGCTGAATAAGGGAGTTTTATGCAGAAGTTGGGAAGATGATGAAGGAAATACTGCATCACTTCAGATATTGGCACCAGCAGTTCCACCAGCAGGCCAATAGTGTTAGAGATGAGCCACAGTAACAAAGTTGCTGGACACTTTGGCATTAAGAAGACATTTATGAGGAGTCGACAGCGCTTCTATTGGCATGAACAACGTAATGATGTACGAGCTGTTGTGCGAACTTGCAAGATTTGTGGTGCAAGGAAGAAACCCATGAAACCATACCGTGCCCCTATGAAGACACATGGAGTTGGTAATCCCATGGAAAGGATAGCCATAGATATCCTTGGGCCTTTCCCAGAAACTCCAAGGGGAAACAAAGTTATACTTGTATGTGGGGACTATTTCTCCAAGTGGATGGAGGCTTTTGCTTTACCAAATCAAGAGGCCCGTACTGTTGCTGACAAGATAGTGGCTGAAGTTGTATGTCGATTAGGAATGCCTGCGACCCTACATTCCGATCAGGGACGTAACTTTGAAGCGAAAGTCTTTCAAGAGATGTGCAACTTGCTGGGTATAGAGAAGACGAGGACAACACCATTCCACCCCCAGTCGGATGGGATGATAGAGCGCTACAACCGTACGTTGTTAGATTCTTTGGCTAAGCTCCTTCAGCCAGAACCCCACCAAACAGACTGGGATTTGCAAATTCCGTTCGCACTAATGGCCTACAGAACGGCAGTAAATGAATCCACAGGCGAGACACCAGCCATGTTGATGCTCAGTAGAGAGCTGAAACTTCCTCTGGAGACATTAATTGAAGTCCCACCAACGGATACCGAGGAAAGTGATTATGTCACTGATTTACGAGAGAAACTTAGTGAAGCCCATGATCGTGCACGAGCGAAACTTAAACTCAGTGCAGAAAGACAGAAGGTGGCGTATGATCGGAAGTTGGCTGGACATTCCTACAGTGAAGGAGATGCTGTCTGGTATTTGGACAATACCAAAAGGAAAGGAGTGTCGCCAAAATTGGAGAGTAAATGGAAGGGTCCTTTCCAAATCATCAAGAAGATCTCCGATGTCACCTACAGAATACAGATTAAGGGCAAGAGTTATACACTTTAATATGCTCAAGCCATATGAAGCTGAGTTGCCAGATGATTGGCGTATATCAAAGTCACAGCCAGAGATAATTATGGAACCTCTTACAGATGACCCCGTGCAGGAGTTAATTACTGACAAGGTTCCCTGTTCTACTAAGCATATCTCTAAGACTGTGAAATGGAAGGATCAGGAAGGAAAACCTGAAGTAGAACCTGAAAGAGACTCTCAACCTATTCTCCCAGATGAAACTCCAGACTACAAGAAAACTGTCAAGACATCACCCAAGAAGGAAGTGGATGACAAACCTTCCAGGAGGGAACGCAAACGTCCCAGACACTTGGATGATTTTGTGGCTGAGGTTTTTGAACATAAAGATGTATACAACCAGCCTGGAACTAGCAGATATAGTCACCAGTCGAGGCCGTATTCAAGGTCACCTGATTACAGACATGATTTGAGATCGGATAAGTATGGTCCTAGGTCAAGGAGATCAGAATGCCGACATGACAGAAATCGATCAGCTCATTTTTCTGATAGACATTCCCGATTGAGACACAGAGCATCAAATGAGCTTAACAGGACAAACCGTACTCGTGAAGCAGACCTTCCAGACAGTTTCCCACGTCACAGAAGGTTTATCCAGGATCGTGATTGGAGATCCAGATCCCCAGATAGAAGATGATAGGAGTTAAGGTCTCAATCATCCAGGAAGCACTACAAGAGAGTGAAGTTTTACATGAGTATAATTTGAGATATGTGAAGTGAAACATAGTTAGGTGTTAACTTGTTAGATATCTAGATAACTTTAGATAGTTAGATATTCAAGTAATTAGAAACTTGAACATTGTACTGATAGTTAGTTAACCCCGGGGTTGAACATAGTTGACAGGTTACACATTTTTTTGTAAGTTATACATTTGTAAGTTTGTAGTTAGTTAGAAAGTACATTTATGTCTTAGTTTGGTACGAGGACGTACCAATATCTTGGTAGGGGGGAGTGTAACGGAATTTTAAATGTAAAATTTTTGATTTTTGATAGTGCTGTATTTTTGTACATTAGGTAATTATTACACTTGGAAAGTAATTTCCCATTGAGATTATTAAGATTTATAAATGTAGTATCATTTGCAGCATTTAGGTTGTACTTACAGAGGTGAAATAGTTCACATGTTTTATTTATTTGATCACGATTTTGTTTATGTTGATCGGGCAGTCTTATCTGGCAGTCTAATTTGTAGTTGATCGGTAGTCTAACATGACAGCTTTATTATTTTACTTCCTGCTTTTGATTCGATGGAATCGAAGTAAAATTAGACTAGATAGTGATTAATTACTGTTATATTTCTTGAGTCCTAATTATAATCTTGCTGTATGATCAATATTGAAGCGAAATATGGCGTAAATAAGCTGTAATTCACAGTTGAAATCTTGTTCGAAAATCGATGACGTCATCGGGCCTATATAAGTATCTCGCTGTTGAAGGCTCGTGAGTGCGATGCCAGATGTTGTCGAGGAAGGACCTCCAGAGCGGAATTTCGGGAAACAGCTAAAATCTTCTAAGTTTTATAGAACTTAGTTGATTTTGTGATGTTGAGGCTATACGTTTGCAGTATACACATGAAGATAGAAGCTGTACCTTAGTAGAATACATCTGATGAGCCAAGCTATACGTTTGCAGTATACAAGGGCAGATTGAAGAAACTAAGTGTGAGAAACTTAGTTTATTTTGGAACTTGGATTTTTGGAAAACACTTTGATGCAACTAAGTGTGTGAAACTTAGTTTATTTATCGCACTGGAAGTAAGGGAGATCTTCAAGACTGGACAGAACTTCAACAGGGTGAAGCTATCCCCAGCGCAAAGCATTAGACGTATTGTCCAGCCTTCATAGACTGAGAGGAAATGCTGACATAACTTGTGTTTGAAAAACAAGCTATTTTGATCATCAAGGAACTTAGACGATTTATAACATTATTGGACTTAGTCAGTATTTGGTGAAACATTATTTTGGACTTTGTTATTTTTGGAGAAAGAAATATTTAACTTAGAATATTTTAACATCAGTATAACTTAGCATGAAATTAACTTAGTCAATATTTGGTGGAAACATTATTTTGGACTTTGTTGTTTTTGGAAAGAGAAATATTGAACTTAGAATATTTTAATATCAGTATCACTTAACATTAAATGAACTTAGTCATTTTAGAGGTCAAATATTTTCACATGTTATATTTTTGCATATGTCGTTGTGTGCATGCTATATTTGTAGGTAGCCTTATTATTTAATTGTGAAGAAAGCAGGCTACATGGACTTAGCAGTTGATGCCGTGTATTAGACGTTCTGGACTTGGTAGTTTGAAGATTGTGATAGTTTGACTTATACATCTACAGAGAAGAGGTTCTGGGACTTAGCAGTTTATTCAACGAGATATTTTGACTTTGATGATTTTGGGTCATTGAAGTTAGAATATACATCTACAGAGGAGAGGTTCCAGGACTTAGCAGTTTATTCAACGAGATATTTTGACTTTGATGATTTTGTGTCATTGAAGTTAGAATATACATCTACATTGAAGAGGTTCCAGGATTTAGCAGATTATTCAACGAGATATTTTGACTTTGATGATTTTTTGGTCATTGAAGTTAGAATATACATCTACAGAGAGGACGTTCCAGGACTTACCAGATTATCAAGCGAGATATTTTGACTTTGGTGATTTCGCATCATTAAAGTTAGGAAGATACATCTATAGAGAGACGTTATAGGACTTAGCAGATTATCCAGCGAGATATTTTAACTTTGATGATCTTGTGTCATTGAAGTTAGAATATACATCTACATTGAGGAGGATCCAGGTGATAGCCGTTCACAGAGCTGATAGTTTGACTTGGATTATTTCATATAATCAAAGTTGAATTATAATACAACACAGAGAGGAGGATCCAGGAGATAACCATTTACAGAGCCGATAGTTTGACTTAGATTATTTCACATAATCAAAGTTGAATTATACTACAACACATGAGGAGGATCCACGACTTAGGAGTTTACACAACTGATAGTTTGACTTAGATTATTTCACATAATCAAAGTTGAATTATAATACAACACAGTGAAGAGGATCCAGGAGATAACCATTTACAGAGCCGATAGTTTGACTTAGATTATTTCACATAATCAAAGTTGAATTATACTACAACACATTGAGGAGGATCCAGGAGTTTACACAACTGATAGTTGACTTGATGATTTCACATTATCAAAGCTGAATTATACTACAATACAGTGAAGAGGATCCAGGAGATTTACGTTTACGGAGCAATAGTTTGACTTAGATGATTTCACATCATCAAATTTGAATCATACTACAATACATAGAGGAGGATCCAGGAGATTACTATTTCAGGTTCAAGTTACAAGTACAATACAAGACCTACAAGGGTTACAACATATATGGACTTTTAATATTGGAGATACAACAGTGTATATAGTGATCATTAACTTTAGTTATATGGACTCTGGATATTGTTTCATAAGTGATAATTATTAGCTTATATGGACTTTTGAGTTTTGAGTTTAGAGAGAGATAATAATATCGTAGCATTTTAACCTTCATACTTGACATTTAATGTACATCTTTATTTGGGCTTATAAACGCCACAATATACTGTTTTATATTTATATTTAATTGTATATGTCTGTTTAATTCTTTAGGGACAATCGCACATTTAACGTGTGCCGTGTAACTCACCAAGTAAACACCGTTTACTAAACAGTGGGCCTATTATAAGCCACGCTACCACGTATATCCACAAAAATAGGCCAAACTGTTACATTATATACCTGAGCGTTCTGAATCCGTTCATTACATGTAGGTGTCGGGCTCATTATCGCTTCTGTGACTATAATTGTCCAACATAACAACAAAATCCCATGATTGTTTATGAAATCAACTGCAACCATCTTCCTCGGAATGCTGTATGTGAGCTTAGAATATTGTATTGAAATCAATACAAACTACGTCTAGACTCTTTTATATTCTAGGTCTGTTGTGTATTTTACATATCCTGAAAGGATAGGTATCGATATGGTGAACTGAATTCAACAATGTTTTTCTCTTTAACCAATTATTGAAAACATTTTGTAAAAAACACGGTCGTTTATATAATGATGCCTGATTGGCAACAATTTAATGCAAACATTATTTATATATATTTTATATAACTGTTTTTGTTAACATTTTTGTATTTTTAGTGCATTGTTTTTTGTTCCTTTCTACCAATTCTTGAGAATGAAATAACATGTCTTTCCGAACCTTGTTGGGACAAAATAGCATATACAACATTTTCACGTTGTGTTTATGTCGTTTTGTTCCAATGAGGTTCGGATAGATGTTTCATTTCATTCCGAACATATGACACCACTAACAAAAGGAATGTCTGATGTGTTTTCTAAAACTATATGTATTTAAAGTATTTATATTTATTTCAAATTATAATGTTATTATCAAAAAGATGACCGTTAAATTGACGATGTGTAAAATTTTCAGAATGTTTTGATGATTGGTTTAAGAGAAATGCGTGTCCAAAAAGTTCACCATATCGATACCACTCCTTTGGTGACTAATCTTTATCAGTAGAGGTCATGATAGAGTTTCGGATAGATGTTTCATTTCATTCCGAACATATGACACCAATAACAAAAGGAATGTCTGATGTGTTTTCTAAAACTATATGTATTTAAAGTATTTATTTCAAATTATAATGTTACTATCCAAAAGATGACCGTTAAATTGACGATGTGTAAAATTTTCAGAATGTTCTGATGATTAGTTTAAGAGAAATGCGTCTCCAAAAAGTTCACCATATCGATACCACTCCTTTGGTGACTAATCTTTATCAGTAGAGCTGTCAACACAACTGTTAAGAAGTGTTCTAGGCAGCTCTAGTGAAACTCGATGCTATGTTTTGGTCTAACAAGAGTGCAAGCTACTTGTAAATAAAAAAGTTATCCTTGTGCGTAATCATATGGTGAAATAAAAACAACTAAGTATGAGAAACGTATGTGGTATATGTCAGGCCCGGATGTCAGGTTGGCTTTCTGATCATATAGTTTTAAAATCATCGTCAATTTCTGAAGAAAGTAGCGAAATTAAGAAAACCAGATGAGACATTTGATGAAAGGGCAGCGGTTCATAGGCTGTATGAGTTACCCTTGCCAGACTTGCCAACCTCCCGTTTTTTTACGGGAATCTCCCGTAAATTTTTTGTTTTTCCGTAAAAAATACCAAATTCCCGTACCGTTTTCTCCCGTAAAAACTCCCGTAAACTCCCGTACCGTATTTCTACTAAAATCTACCGTAATTTTTTTTTAAAATATGGCCGTAAAATCTCCCGTATTTTTTGAAATCTCCCGTAAAATATCCCGTAAAATCTCCCGTATTCTGGTATAACTCCCGTAAAATCTCCCGTATTCTTGGTATAACTCCCGTAAAATCTCCCGTTTTCTGGTATAACTCCCGTAAAAGCTCCCGTATTCTTGGTATAACTCCCGTAAAATCTCCGTTTTTTGCTGTCGAAATCTACCGTATTTAAAAGGAATTTGACAAATTTGGGACCTTGATTATTGCAGACACGCTTCTTTCTTTTACTCCAAGAAGGATTGGCTCCCATGGTTCACTATCGATACTTTCATAAATAACTTAAAAGTACTCCATTCCCATTATTCAAATTGCTTTTCTGCGATCAGTTCGGTATAAGTTTGCGCACCAAATGTCCACAAACGGGGTCCAGTTCATATTCTGTCATACTTCTGTCGGGAGATGTCGGAACGTCGAAGGTACGATTTTTCTCCTTTCCTTATTTCACACGTTGTAGGCAGAATTCCCACGACATTTTTTAACACAAACGTGTATCAGTATCATATATTTAAGAAAATGTACATATGTGCGAACAAATAGTTCAGAAGACAACAGAATCGTCGATTTAACTCTTCACTTAAGTTACATAAACGGTTGTTCGAAAAACAGTTAAGATGTGCACTTTTAACCCAAATCGTTTATGTAACTTCAGTGAGGAATTAAATCGACGATTCTGTTGTCTTCTGAGCTATTTTTTCGCAAACATGAACTTTTTCTAAAACATATGATACTGATACACGTTTGTGAGAAAAAACGTCGCGGGGATTCTACCCTACAACGCGTGAAATAAGGAAAAATAAGGAAAAAAGAATAATCGTACCTTCGACGTTCCGACATTTTGTTACCAAAACGAACCGTTTCGGTAACCAGCGTAATCGAGTGGATCACCAGTGCCTTAGCATACAGTGAACGCCACAAATACATTTTACTTAGCTTTGATCAATTCGTTTCCAAAGTAATAAAAACTCCCGTTTTTTCAAAATCTACCGTAAAAACTCCCGTTTTTTCAGAAACCTACCGTAAGAAGTCCCGTTTTTTCCGAAATCTACCGTAACAACTCCCGTTCTTTCAAAAGCTACCGTAAAAACTCCCGTTTTTTCAAAATCTAAAGCAAAAACTCCAGTTTTTCAGAAATCTACCGTAAAACTCCCGTTTTTTCAAAATCTACCGTAAAAACTCCCGTTTTTTTCAGAAATCTACCGTAAAAACTCCCGTTTTTCCGAAATCTACCGAAAAAACTCCCGTTTTTTTCCGAAATCTACCGTAAAAACTCCCGTTTTTTCTGAATCTACCGTAAAACTCCCGTTTTTTCAGAAATCTACCGTAAAAACTCCCGTTTTTTTTTTTTAAATTTACCGCAAAAACTCCCGTTTTTTCAAAACCTACCGTAAAAACTCCCGTTTTTTTCAGAACCTACCGCAAAAACTCCTGTTTTTTCTAAAATCTTCCGTAAGAAAGTCACGTTTTTTAAAATTTACCGCGAAAAATACCTTTTTTAAAACATCTCCCGTAAAAACTCCCGTTTTTTCAGAATTTCCCGTAAAAACTCCCGTTTTTTTTCAAAATTAACCGCAAAATCTCCCGTTTTTTTTAAATCTCCCGTAAAAACTACCATTATTTTCAAAAATCTCCCGTAAAAACTCCCGCTTTTTTCAAAAAACTACCGGATTTTGAAAAAAACTCCCGTAGAAGTACCGCAATTTTTTTTAAATCTCCCGAAAAATTTTCATTTTAGGTTGGCAAGTCTGCTTGCATTAATGCCTTTGTCACATTTGCTCCGATCCATCGGCCGGCGCCCGGCCGATTGAGTATTTTGTTCAATATTGTATTAGATTTTGAACAAAATACTCAATCGGCCGGGCGCCGTATTGAAAATTAGAGCAAATGTGACCAAGGCATAACGCTCACATATATGAGTTCAAAACATTAATTTAGTAGACTACAGTGTTGATAAATAAGTTCAGTAATGCCTGGGTCACATATGTTCCGATCCACCGCCCGGCACCCGGCCAATTGAGTGTTTTGTTCAATATTGTATTCAATTTTGAACAAAATACTCAATCGGCCGGGCGCCGTAGTGAAAATTGGAGCAAATGTGACCAAGGCATAATAGTGGCACAATTTTTGGATATGATGAAGCTCCGTTTCTTGTATTTGGTGTAATTTGAGCCCCTTTGATACCTAATGCTGCCTTAATCTAGCTATTGTTTGGGCTCCTACACATTTACACGGTGATTAAATATACTAGATACAAATAAATATATAAGCACAAGTGCCAAAGGGAAAGGACCAAAGGTTGTAATGGAACTTAGCAATTAAAAGAAAAAGCAAACTCTAAGTGCATACCAGTCAAGAAAAACAAACCCCATATATCCCAAAACCATGATCTAACGTGAAAAGAAACAATGTCTAATACCCCCTTTCCCCCCACCATTCAAGAACCAATATCACAATCCAAGACCAGAAGACCAAGGGACATTTCATTCATACTGAAGTCATTATACACTACATGTTGAAAATGAAGAAAAAATTAGAAGTTGATAGCCAATACTCAAAACTATTGTAAATTACATCAAGAAGCCCGGTTTCAAAAATTGTTTATCAATTGTTTATCAATCAATTTATCAATTTTCTTTGAAAATGAGACGTCTAGGGAAACATATTTTCTTGTATATTTTTATTTGTATAATTATCAATTAAACAAATGAACATCGATCCATAAATCTAATGAAAACTAAAGTTTATAGAAACTGTTCTGTATTTGCCACGTGATTTGACCCGAATTAGCCACCTGGTGCTTGGTGGGTAACTAGATACTGTCACCTAGGTAATTCGACTCTGATCATACAAAGTTGGGTGCAGGTCAATAAGGATTAGGGCCTATGGTATGTATTGCTCATCAACAATATTTGCGACTTTAATTGTTTATCACTAATATTTATATCTGCTTGAATTGATTGTCCATAAACAATATTTATGAGTAACCGACAATATATTTTACCTAATTATTTGAAAACCTTCATTACGATTAAGTTTAAACCAAATAGCAAATTCGCATTACATTTATGAATAGATTTTTACACAAATTTGTCAAGAATTCCCTATATAAAATGTATAAGGTTTTATTTCTCAGACAGCCTAGTATACATGTAATTGTACGAAAGTCCATGGTATTACTAAATTTTTAACATCATAGAGGCTATGTTCTGTCACAATGTAGCCTTCCCCTGACAAAATGTCTGTATTAAAAAAATAAAATTAACATCAACAAGACTTCGGCCATGAATAGTTAAAATGTTCATATTTCTTATTTCTATATTTATGTCTTCTTTTTGGAAACATGCTGTCGTTTGTTGCGCATTCGTATTGACACTTATCGACATGTGTAAGAATGGATGCCATCTTTACATTGCAGTCCGGATGGACACGTGACATTGATGCAGTCGTCATCATCTAAAATACGAAATCATTTGTCTACAAGGACGGGCAATAGATAATGTCATCATGGCAAACCATTCAGTAGGTTTAATTGTATACTGAAACATATAAATTTCTCCCAAGATGAAGATTTCGAATTTTTGTTAAACCACTAGGGCACTATGGTGTACATACATACATACACACAAGAGAATCATAATATTGATATTAACTTCAAAGTAAATGTACCTCTGAAATATAACCGTAGGCCGTTTTTAGGCGAAGGCGTTTGGCAATAATGATCATACAACAAGTCAACGCCGAACACGTTTTCTGGCCCGTATGTTGTGCTAAATCCATCCCCACACATGCCGTGGCCCATACTTAGTGACGTCTTGCAATCGCAGTTGTCGTCATCAATTTGTAAAGAGGCTACGCCGTGTTCCATACGATAGTGGAAACAATCTTGTGTTGCCTTTGGAGGAGTGCCTTTAATATTTAATTAAACTTACACTCCCCTCCATAAGTTTGGCAACCTTTTCCCCCATTGAACTACGTGTTAAAGCCTCTTTACCTTTGAATTGTTATTTACTAAACCGGCGATGAAATAACTTATAATATTGATGGAAACGTGACTTGACTTTATTTCTAATACCTCCAAATTTTCTAAATTTTTTCGAAATTGATGATAAAGATGAATTTTTGAAAATCGTCATTCCCATGTAATCCAACGGGAAATGGAGATTCGGGGCAAATCAGAAATCAGGATATCTTTTCTGTAAAAGATTCAGCAAAAAATATTTTCATATAGAAAATTGAATTGTCTAACTTTTTTGAACACTACATGTAAGTGTTTAGTTTATTTGATGAATATTAAAGTTACAGCGCTTCAAAGTCATTTTTGAAAATATTTTTCGCCTCCTGTGTTATTTCAATGTGAGGTTTTTTGAAAAACAATTTTGACTTTAAAGCCCTCTAACTTTGTTGAACCTGAAGAAACATATCAATTTTTTGTTAAATAAAGTTAGCACATTCAATTGCCTGCCTAACTTGTATTTTTGCAAGGACTCGGATGTTTCCCATTGGTTAACATGGGAATGTCGATTTTCAAAAATTCATCAAATTTATCATAAATTTTCGACCTTTTGCAATTGAGGAAAAAAATTGAGAAAATTTGGAGGTATTGGAATTAAAGTCAAATTACGTTTCCATCAATAGTATAAGTATTTTCATCGCAGGTTAAGTAAATAAAAATCCAAAGGTAAAGAGGCTTTAACACGTAGTTCAATGGGGGGAAAAGGTTGCCAAACATATGGAGGGGAGTGTATATAACCATTCAACTCGATTTATTCAGAAAAGGGGCATTCAACATGCTTTTAAATGACACAAACATTCATGTTGGCAAAAAAGGGAACTGTTATTTAAACACCATTAATTTCCACCTGTCTGCTATTTACACCATCAACCATCAACAGAAAATGCAAAGGTTTGACAAAATGCCCGCCTTTTAAGAGGCATGCAAATGTCGATTAGGTTTGCTTACCACTCACGACTTTCGGATTCCAGGGGTTTCCGTTAGTAACTTTCACATACTCGTGATCGTGGAATGCTCTCCAAACTGCGTGGGCCACATTATTTCCAGGATTAAACTTCCATCTGCAATTTTTTTCAACATCATTTTAACTTTAACAGGTAACAAAACCTACATTAGAAAAGCACAATATGTTTGTTATTCTTAAATGATTAAATAAAGCGTAGTTTGACCAATCATGGTGAAATATCAGTCACTCTCCACAGTTGGGTACATGTGGTCAGTGGTCGGCTGACGGTCTTTTACATAAAGATGAAAAAATGCAAAATTAGAAGTAAAACTAAAACTGGGAATCCAATGACTATAGTACCTTTACTAGGTCGTGATTTAAAAACGTATAATTAATCATTTCAAATCACGATGAAAACGTTACATCGTCGTGGTGTGTAATGTGATATTTTTAAGTTATGTTTCAGTTGTTAGAAGACCAATTTCATCCTGGTTAGTCACTTTGGAAAAAAACGCACGTAACATTGCATTAAGTTCATTCATATGAAACGCAATAACAAAAACACACAAACATCGTCGATGTTGACGTCGTAACGTTATGTTTGATTTCTCAGTTGTTAAACGTCAACTGGTAAAAACTACATTTGATATGACAAAAAAAGCTTTCTAATGGTGTACTGAAATGGTAGGTCACTTTTAATCCCGATAAGAGAACGCATGTAATATCGTGTTCAGTATTCAGTAGGCAATGACGATAACAAATTTGTTTCGAAATTGTTAAATTTCAGTAAAAAATTAGGATAGATTCCCGTAGAAACGATAGGTTGGTTAATGATAGGTTAGGACCTAAGGCAGGACAATTAATCGAGAGGAGAAGGTCATGCCCAATTTGTTTGCTTGCCATTCGTTGCAAGGTACAAAATCGGTAAAAACCGTTGCCTAGTCCCAACGATTGACATTCAAAATCTAATTAATAAATATTTTAAGGCTACAAATATGTTCGGTCTTTTACACATTTTCTTCAAACCCTGTTTTGAGGCTACCAGTGGAAAACACCGACCGGTCGGTGGTCGGTGGGGTCGGTCTTTTGCGTAAACCCAGTATTAAGTGATTGGCTATATTGAAAACTTAATTTGCTGTAACAAACATATAAACGTTTTTACCAAATGGAAAATGATTTAGCGAATATAAATATTTCATATATCGAATTTATTTGAATTTAATGAATAAAGAAGCAAGAATAATACCATACACAATACCTGTACACATTTCCATCAGAATCTACGCCAAGCATCTCAGCCACGCGTTCTTGTAGGACTTCTGGTAGGCGACTGAAGCAGTAAGGTGCGTTAACATCGCAGTCTCCGTATTTATCTTAAACATATTGAAAAGGTTAGAAGAGAAAAAGAAAGTACAAAGTGACCCAGCCCAGAATCGAAACCTGGAATCTACTGGAATTTCTTTTGTATATAAAGTTATCATACATTTACCTTTTAAGACATCACTGACAAGGGCTGGCCATGTTGTGTTTGCCTTGAACCACCAGAATAGCTTCCAGCGTACTTCATCGTCTTTGAAGATGACAGGGTAGTCATAGGCTGATGGAAATCACAGATCAAATAAAGGATTTTGCGTTTAATAGATAAGATTTGATGAAATGAGTACAAAATGTCAAGACTTTTTGGACAACCCTCGTTAAGGCGAATGCATCAGAAACAGCTGAATTATATGTTCTTAATATATATTTGTATCATCACTTTAATATAATAACATATAATATTTTTTTCATGATACTCAATCCATACCATTGAATAATCCATATTAGTGTGTGCCAAAACCCCAGAAAATCACAAAAACCTATGTTGTGGTAGCTTACTATGAAGTGACCCATTCTCATTATAGATTGGTCCATCAACTATTCATTTTTACTTGTCTGCTCTCAAAAAGGTGACACGAATGGGCTAAACGGCTTGCCACAAGGTGCAACCATCAAAAAGATGAGTTTGATAAAAAATTATTTTTTTCAAATAATAGCAATGGGTATACAATATAGGAGGTAAATTTGATATTGATAAGTATAATAGTCCATTTGCGTGTGGCCATTTTTATAAAAAACAATAATTGTGAAGAATTATATATTTCCTACCTGAAAATACTATCTTAATTCAAAAGTCATGGTTGTTAATGATAATATTCCTATTTCACCTATTCAATGTTTTCAAAATATTTTAATTACCATTATATTCATTTTTGGCCAAGTAAATAAATATAGGGCTCACACAGGGATCAACTTTATTTGCAATATTTTCATATTTAGTGATGTTTTGAAAAAATATAAGGTTAAACACAATTTTATTTGTTAAATGTTTTACAAAATAAACATAGTGTGTTTATTTCATTGTTTCAACTGAAAAATCGCAATTCATTGCTCTTCGTCTTAGAACGGCAAGGGATATACAAGTACGTAAACAGTCTTAAAAAACTTTGATCCTTGTGTAAGCCCTACACTTATTTACTTTGCAAGAAACTGATATAATGGTTATTCGTCAGTATGAAAATCATTTCAAAGGTAAACTAGGAAGAATGTCATTGAACTTGGAATAAAAAGCATTATATGGTTAGAAATACCCAATTTTTTACCATAATTGTTTTTAATAATATAACCATACACTAATGGACTATCTTTACATTTCAATAACCAATGTGTATAATATTTTGCATGTTTTACTGCAATCATTTGTAAAAATATTTTTAAATCTTACATTTTTGACTGGAAAGTGAAGAGACAATGCTCAAATATACTCATATTATTGGTCACATTTGGTTATTTCACCCAAACAGATTCGGGATTTTTTAGTCCAGGCATATGAAGAAACTAGTGTGAGTTAAATGGTCATATTATTTGTTGTTTGATTTAGCTAAACATAATATGTTGAACCTGCTTTGGCCATTAAACTTTAAATTTGCTTTAAATTTAGATTTTGTGAAACACATCCGCTTACTGATCCAATGCAGAACTACTGGAGAAAGTAACTCTCGTGAAAAACTTGGTCAACGTGACTGTTGATTACTGATTGCACTAGTGATTAAACTAATGACCTCATATTTGGATAACCTCTCTTCTGATATGATTTTACAATTCACTTCAAATTGGCAAAGGACCAGATATAGTATGGCAAATGATATCTGACGGTCATATATTTTACCATGACTACTTTCTCAATATAAATATGACATTTCTCAAAAACACAATATGTTATCTTTCAAGAAAATTCAATTCTCAATGATTATAAAAATATCATTCGAACAATCTAAAAAACTATGAATGGGGAACCCATCTCAACATTTTTTGAAATTATTTACTGAACAGAGGTTCTTCTTTTTTATTTGAATTGCATGAAAATATTATTCAACAAGTGGTCTAAAACTTTTTCATTAGAAGAATTGTAATGAAAGTCTAGTTTTGGAGATTTCAATTTTCAATGACCAAAATTATGCTGAAAACAATGGATAGTTTGACTTTTTCCAATGGAAAATAACATGGAATTTGTGGTTTTTAACTTTATCGCATTTCAATACCCGTCCCCTTTTCAGAACTTGTTAATTCATTAGCGTAGAAGAACTTTTGATATATTCAAATTCAGAAAAAATACTTTAGAAAATAAGCCTAATATTTTTCAAAAAGTGACAAGGTGGGGATTTTATCAATAATATTTCAGATATATTTTCATGTATTTATATTTTTAATTTCAATTTATTCATACATTCAAGCATTATGTTTACGAATATTATTAATAACAGGTGGCACTACAGGTGATGCTTATACCCGTACGTATAGTAGTAAAATCATGTAGTGTATCACTAAGTTGTCAAGGAATCAAACCAGAATGAAATCATAAAAACTAAGTTGAAAAATAAAGGTTGAGGGGGATTCATGATGTTTTTTCTTTTCACGTGAAGTAGTTGGATGATATCATTTTTATCATAGGGACTTTACATAAGAAAAATCATATTGTTTTCACAAAAACACGTTCAGCCCCAAAATGCCAAATACTAATTAGATATTGAGCTATGATCTTGATCAATAGACACTGACATATGGATCTCTGGTCACTTTATCATTGGTCATTAAATAGGACTGTAGCCCCACAGTTGCCAACTACCAAGATATTGACTTTGACCTTAAAATGACCTTGACACCAGGTCACCTAATCATTGGTCGCCAAAGGTCACAATTGTTCTCAATTGCCTTTAAACTCCAAATTGCCCCCCCCTTGAGTGGGCCCAAAAAAAAATTGGGCCAAAAAAGGCATTTAGGCCCCAAAAAGTGGGCCTTTTTGGTCATAACTGGGCCTTTTAAGGCCTTATTTTCTAATTTCAGGTCAAATTTTGAAGAAAACGGGCCTCAAAATTTGGGCCCACTCTTCGGTTTTAGGGGCCCAAAAAATTTTCCGCTGACGTTTCTTTCTCTGACCTGAAATTTCCCCCCCCCCCTTGTTTGTTCCCAGATCCGCCCCTGTGATGTAATGCAAATTGGTCTCTTTAATATGACGTCCGTAAGATAAACCATCAATACTAGGATTGTCAAAACTTGCATTAATAAAATCAATTCCCGTCTCATCACTGTCACACCCACTACTACAAGATAATGTCTCTTAGATATTAAGCTGCAAGCTATAAACTAAAAAGAATCAACTTCACTATCTGCTGCATCACTATAAATATAGAGGGTTAATTATTGTCCTGGAAGTGATGCACTATATGCTCGTAATACTTTTTTATTCAAAATCAAAAGTCAATGATACTATTCCTATTTTACCTATTAAATGATTTTTATATATCCGAATAACCATTATATAAGTTTTTGGCAAAGTAAATAATTGTAGGGTTCACACAAGGATCAACTTTTTGAAGACTTTTTTTGTACTGGTGTAGACTCTCCTGCTTGCAAAGCAAGGGCGATGAATTGAGATTTTTCAGTCGAAACAAGAAAACAAACATATAATTATTTTTTCTTCAACAAATAAAAGATAAAATTGAGTTTACCTTCGTATTTTTTCAAAACATCACTTAATATGAAAATGCTGTGAACAAAATTGATCCTTGTGTGAGCCCTATAATTATTTACTTTGTCAAAAACTAATGAAATGGTTATTGGTATATTTAAAAAACATTGACTATATAAAATAGGAATAATATCCTTGACAACAGTAACTTTTTAATTGAAAACGCATTTTAAGGTCATAAATATCCAATTTTTTACCATAATTGTTTTTCATAAAATTACCACACCCGAATGGACTATCATTACACATCAATATCAAATTTGCATCTTATTTTGTAAACTTACAAGTATTATTTCAAAAAATGTATATTTTTCAAACTCATCTTTTTGACGGTCGCACCTTGGTGCAAGCCGTCTAGCCCTTTCGTGTCACTTTTTTGACTGCAGACAAGTAAAAATGAATAGATAATAGATCAATCTAATATGACTATGGGTCAATTCATAGTAAGCTACCACAACATAGGTTTAGCCTAACTAAGCCACTTAGAAAGCAATTTGGCACACACTATATATCATAACATTATTCACTGGTTCTGGCCGTATTAGGGATCCATACAGCCAATTGCAATGTGCAACAAGATGGCCTACCTTACGGTTTCAGATTTTCGTCAGAAATCTTATCCTACATTTAGACTTATTTCTTGGACGATTCTCTCCATTATCTCAATGTTAATTGTATTAATCATCATAAAGAAACTATACAGGGTGCCCAATAAATAAGGCGAAAGATATTGTAACTTTCTTAATATTGCACCAATCTTAATGAAATTTTCAGAGTTTGTAGCCCAAACCTTTTTACTTTTATTCTGTGCATTTAAAGCGTCTTCTATTTGATTGGCCAGAGTTGTGGCTGCTATAGCAACCGAAACAACAAAACCCTGTATACCCTGTATATTCATACATTTAATAGTTCATCACTTCTGTTACACAAACATAGCTCTAGAGGTCTGAAGAAAATAGAGCGGCGTCATTGTAACAAAAGCGAGGAATCCAATCTGCAAATAGGGCGCTTCGTGATGATACTTGGTGAATACTAGTTATATATTTGTTATATATTTGAATCAGGAAACTATGCGCATAAGATGGTAGAGAAAATCGTTGCAAAATATGCTACCAGAAAACAGATCCACCTTGTTACACAGACACAGTGGCAATGTGATACTTTGAGACACAGTGGGTATTGATATTGATATTCCACACACAAAGTCAGATCGGCAAGTATGCATGTTTTGTAAAATTGCAATAAAATCGTGACCATTGGATGGAAATAGACCAATGAGACTTAATAGAATGAAGGTAGATTGAACAATTGTAAATATTACTTAAAAAACTGGATGACTGAGTTATTGAAATTCGTTTGGGCTACCTTTTTCGCTCACCCTGTTATACAATACCATACCAAAATAGAATGAAATGTTTCTGCAATATACATCGTTTTTATCTCATATGTTGCTTTGCTTTTCTCCATTACCTTCATAATTTGATTTTACTGTGTAACCATGGTGACCGGTAACCGCCCCTGCGCATGTGCAGTTCGCCATACGATCAATGGAGCTCTTCATACCTTCCAAAATTGTCAACATTTCTGCCTTGTCAACTGTTCCAGCGAATAGTGAAATAAAAGCAAACATGAAATAAAGAATTAACAAGTTTGATCAATGTACAAAAACGGACAGGTAGATCAATCGGAGAAAATAGAAATGCAATTTATATGATTGCGCATGCGTGTAAGATGAAAAAGCAATATATACACCGACGGTTAACAACCAATTTGATTAAAGATACTTTCTGTTGCTTTACATGAAACAAACTGCAAACCTTTAAATAAAGTAGTATGCTATACAAATCGAATGCATGTTGATATTTGATATCTTCCAAGCAATAAAATGATATCACTCAAAATAATCTGATATTTGGTATTTTAATCAAAATTCAAAAAATTCAAATTCGAATATGCGGCTGATAAATATGGATAGGTGATAGCAGCCGCATATGGGGCTGATAAACATTCTTCTGAAACACTGGTGATCCACACGATTACGCTGGTTACCGAAACGGTTCGTTTTGGTAACAAAATGTCGGAACATCGAAGGTTCGATTTTTATTTTTTACTTATTTCACACGTTGTAGGCAGAATTCCCACGACATTTTTAACACAAACGTGTATCAGTATCATATGTTTTAGAAAATGTACATATTTGCGAACAAATAGTTCAGAAGACAACAGAATCGTCGATTTAATTCCTCACTAAGTTACATAAATGGTTTTTCGAAAAACAGTTAAGATCTGCACTTTTAACCAAAACCGTTTATGTAACTTAAGTGAGCAATTAAATCGACGATTCTGTTGTCTTCTGAGCTATTTTTTCGCAAACATGTACATTTTCTAAAACATATGATGCTGATATATGTTTGTGAGAAAAGCGTCGTTGGGATTCTGCCCACAACGCGTGAAATAAGGAAAAAAGAAAAATCGTACCTTCGACGTTCCGACACTTTGTTACCAAAACGAACCGTTTCGGTAACCAGCGTAATCGAGTGGATCACCAGTGTGAAAAGTATCACACGAATCTCCATAGTTTTAGAAATACTACTTGCTGTTGTTATTGTACACATGACACAATAATCGTGCAAAACATTTCTGTAAGATCTATTATATTTACCAATGGAAAGGTACAATTTGAGATTATCATAAATAATATACCGGAAAATAAATGTTTAAAAGCGGACAAAAATACAAGCTGCTATTTTTAATGTAAATCTAGCGAATACCGCATGAAAAAGATTGTAAGGAAAGGAGGAATGATAATACATATGCAATATACCTATTGGTTCTTCTCTAGGACATTTTAACTCGACGTTACATTCGTCTTCGATGGTCGACAGTGAATTCAGAGTATTCTACAAATAATACCGTACATGTCATCTTTGCCTAATATTGTTAGAAGTAATCCAATATTTTTTATTAAAATGAAACAAAGCTGACAGACATTTGCAAATTAAGGATCCTAGACATTATTTTTGAAATTCAAAAATCAGAATAAACCGTATATGGGAACTTACGCCATCACTAAAATGTGTAACAAAGCTTTTTCCATTAATCTAAGAGCTTCAATCAAATAGCTCACAGATAGTTATGAATTATTCTACCTTGGCTTTCTGTACCCGGTCCTTGCATGTAGGTTTCTTTGCTTTTTTCTTTGCATCTATGCTCGCTAGACTCGAACATATTAGCCAAATCACAAGCAATTGTTTAAAATTAGCTGCACCCATCTTCAATTTGACTCCTGTGATGGAAAATACGGTTTTACTTCTTGGATGGTGGTACACAAATGAATGCGAATCCCGGCTTTTTGCCACATCTACTGTACAGACGAACCACGGCTACCAGAACCCAAAGTAACCAAATGTTTCATTCATTGGAAGAAATGCATCAAATCGTTGCTTTCTTGAGGTTGTGGGCTATTCTGTAATATCATTTAAGGCATCTGCTGTAGAACATTGAGACAATCTGCGTTTTATTTTATTGCCTTGTTCTTTGTTCTTAGTTGCATTTATCACGTTGCATTGCTTTGTTGTTTGTTTTGCTATTCTCGAATTAATATATAAATTGATTCAAATGGTAATTGATAATTTTATTTTCCAAAATGCATAACTTACATTAACTTTAAAAAGTAGTCTATTGAATGGAAAACAAGACTTTTTATCGCCCCTCTTCGAAATCCCAGCTGATTATTATGCCAGCTGATTAAAATATAAGTTTTTACAAAAAGGCTTAATGTACCTGTAACACGTCCAAGTATGGGATAGAAACCGTATGTACCTGTTACACGTCCAAGTATGGGATACCTGATACTTGAACATACTTGAACGTGTTACAGGTACATAAAGTCGGTTTGTAAAAACTTATATTTTCATCATCGGGCAGATATAGCTTTACGTCCCGCTCCGAGCGGGCAGATAAAAGTATATCTGCCCGCTACGTCATAATCGACGTTTGCATATTGGTTTATTCTTTGTAATGTTCGCATAACAACTGTAAACGACAATTTGGAAAACGCAGACAATTACAATCTGTTTGATGATTAAAAGAAGGGATGGATCCGGAGCAGTATGGCCTGTTGATAATCAAAGATACGATAAATATCCAAAAGAACAGGAAAATCCGGCTACAGCCAAGAATACAAAACTTGAAATGAATAGGCATATTCTAAAATATTCTAAAACTGGGGCCAATAGAACAATGTGAACCAAATGACCAAGATTGGTATGGTATGGGATAAACAGATCATCCTAGAGTCGTTTCAGGATATTTGGATTATCCCTTGGCAAATATAATATATCTACCCTCGGGACCTACGGCCATCGGGCAGATATATTATATTCCCCTCGGGATAATCCCGATATCCCGAACCTCGTATAGGATGATCTCTATTTATCCAATACTTTGGCGTGTTACGGGTACATAAAGCCGGTTTGTAAAACCTTATATTTTCATATATTGGTATTTGCCAATATAATATATCTACCCTCGGGAAATACGACCCTCGGGCGGATATATTATATTTGCTTCGGGATAATCCCAATATTCCGAACCTCATATAGGATAATCTCTATTTATCCTATGCCCAGTAGAGATTTTGGGAGATAAGTTGGTAAAATATATTCTGTATCCTGATTTTGATCCAGAACCTCCATATCTCTTGCCATATCTCCCGCTCCAGGGCATATCTCCCCGCTTTGAAAAATGTTGAAAAAATTGAAAAACAAATTTGAAAAGGTTGAAAAACAATTTTGAAAAAATTCAAAAACAATTTTGAAAAAATTGAAAAAAAACTTGAAAATTTGAAAATTGGATAAGATTATGGGCGACGCCCGCCTTTCTAAGGAAACATTGTTTCGCACTTATGCTAATCATTTGCCGGGAATGGTTTGGAGCCAATTTATCTGTTATAAGCATTTGGATTTACACCAAAACACTCTCAATTGATGCAAACTAGACCGTTCTAGAGACATTAAATTAAATTATTAAATTAAATCGTTCTCAGAAAATGGGCCCCTTCGTAGTAGAGGGCATGTATAAGATCTGTACTCTTTCCTCAAATATACTATTTCTGAATATAAGTACTCTTTAACCACCTAAAACACAAAGAGACTGGGGTACGTTACCCCCCTATCACATCAAACTAGTTCTTACCCGTTCTTGCCAGTCCTACGAAAACGTCGTAAAACGGGCTCAATCTGGCTGTGGTCGGGAAATATGTCTTAAATAATTAGCTACATCGTTCATAAACAGTCTTCAATACGTCCATCTCATTCGCAGTTCGTTCAGGTCGCACCACGTCGGTGTTCAATGTCGTGTAACGCGTCCATTAGTCTAGAAGGTCATCATGACCTGATTACAGAACGGTATGGTCGCCATCGAATTTTGAATCGATTCAAAATTCTAAATCACATTCCCCGTCCGGGAAAGTAAACAGACCGTAGAACATTGTAGCTACGTTCATTCCGTTCGCACACAGTTTAAAACCAGTTTTGAAGAACGTAGTGGCAAATTGCTTGGTGTCAATCTAGAGGACCTACCCGTTCGAGAACGTTCTATGAAATTTGTAAATAGACCCCAACCGGTTCTAAGTACGCCCAGTCCGTTCGTACACAGTTGAAGCCCGTTTTCGAGAACGTAGTGAGAACTAGTTTGGTGTGATAGTAGGGTAAAGATTCGGGCCATCGCCAAATTAATACCTGACCGTGAATGAACCGATTTAAGGCCCATTGACAACGAAGCTATACAATTACCTAATTTCTTTCATCATCATTTAGAATACTGACTAAGCATATTGATATATTTATACCAGTTTTTTTCGATATAGCATGACTTTATTGTTTCTCACGAAAATGCTTATTTCAAATAATATTTAAAAGAATTGTAAGAATGGTTATTGCATTGATATTGAAAAGGGAAATGTCATAAGTGAGGAATGCACTTTACGTCTTGAATAAATATCAATGGATTCAAAGAGACGTCCTTGGAGAAAGGTAAGCAATGACTTACGCACGTGTTATCACATACATATTTTCACATTGAATAAATAAAGTATAACTGTTCTCTATACGTGTAGACCGGTGTAAAAGAAATTATGGTCCCCTGGGGATTATGGTCCCCTTTCTTAAAGACCCTTACTGGCCCTTATTGTGGATACGATAATAAGGGAAAGAGTTGTATTTAGGTCACCATATAAATCAATGGAAAGTAGAACCATAATTTGATAGGACCTCCTACTCTTTTACACCTGTATCGAATATATTATGGAAGTTTGCTATGTATTCGTATTCACTTATTCGATGGCAGAAATCTGACAACACTGAAATGTAGTAAATTTACTTTCAGTTCTATTCTCCATCACTGGTTATTCTAATTCTAATGTTTAAATGTTAAGCACGTTATGACTGTTAACCTCGTTATATTATGAAGAGTTATGGTATATGTCAAATGATGATAATTATATGTACACTCGGGGCATCGTTTGGACATTACTAATTCGTTTAATCCTAGTGTAGTGTCGACGATTTCACCGGTCATTTGGATTACGCTAATCAAATCAAGGTATGTGAATATCAAGATACATTATTACATCACCTCCTCAAAACACTGAACAAGTACATCTTCATTTTGGGAGTAGTAATATATGATATTTTACTTCCAATATTTTAATTTTACTTATTGGGACACGTGTGGAATCTTAGTATTTTTGTCTTTTATTTGTAATTTGTAAATCTACATAAAAAGACCCCTTTGGAATCACAATATTAACATTATTTGTATTAGTTATTTCCAATATGGAAATTCTACATTTTGGGACACGTTTGGAATCTTAATCTTAACAGTATTTGTGTCTCTTATTTCCAGTATGGAAATTCATATAGTTTGCAATCTCAATAGTGACATCATTTCTGTTACTTATTTATCATGCTACTACAATTCTTTATTATTGGAAACCTTCAAATATTAGGAGAATTTTTAGTTTTTTCATAAACATGTCAACTTTCTGGCGACTATTTTCAACCATTAAATGTAAAACTGGAGGTACATGTTACGTAAAATTCAAAACGGAGAGTATGTAAAGTGAAATACCTGTATACGCATTTCTTACCTTAGAGTTATAAATCAAACTTTGAAAAAATTTGAATCGAGCGGTTTATCAGTAAGCCATCCAATTAGCTTCGATACAGTAGGGATTTTAATTTAATTGACAAGCATGCGCAGACTATGAAGCCGCATTTGACGTGCTCAAAAATCATGTTCTTTCAGATCCACATATGATGTATAAATGTATATATTCGTATTTCGTGATTGTAGAGAAACCGGCCAACATGCTACCCTTGATCATTGTCTTGGCGTGTGCCTTTTCCAGTGGACTTGCAGTTGATATCCCCGATCCAGGTAGATATACATTAAACACCTCCAGTATACATTTAAAAATGCGTAAAAGGGACGAACATAAATTGAAATCGCTTTTATGAAGCAGGACACGGATGGCTAGAGCTACGCTCGATAGTGATAGCATTATAGATACAGAAATGTTAATCCCGCTTTCTAGATAATCTACATTTTCCAACTTGTTTTGCAACTTATCAGAAGTCTTTGTATATAGGCAAAATTATGCCTAATGTCGAGATCGTTATAACGATTCTGATGTTCTAAACTAAAAGGAAAGAATGAACTTGAATGTTTATGGACTAGTTATATCATTTATTAATCCATCAAAATGGGAAATGGGGATAATTTTCTATCCACGAATCTAAAATGTAGTGTTCGATATTTTTAGACTTTTTACATATAACATTTTTCTATTATTTGCTCTTAATAAAAGCTATGTAGCCTATATTCAAGCGTCACATCTTTAGCATTTAGGAGTCTTATCTGCAGCATATTCATTGAGTACATTATCTGTCTTTTGGACAATGGCAGATGGATGTTCAAATAGATTATGACCAGATAACACTTTTACAGAATTTTGAAAATATATTTTGTCTGTATGTCCCGTACCATTTTACATTTTTGATATTGATTACGTAAAATCGAGTGATTTCAATTCGTAAACGGCAGAAGATGGGAAGAAATGATTATATACAGCTGCTGCGAAATCATTAGTCAGCATATCAAATTGATTTGCAAAGGTCTCAAGAAGAGAGGGGAGTTTTTCCTTAATCATGAAGTTACGCCCATCTCAAAGTGTCATATTGTTGAGGTGTTCAGTGTTCACTTTTGACTTGATGAATTTGTCAGATGCGAATAGGTAGTTACCAGTTTCGCCACCAGGTGGCTGATTCGGGGGAATTAACATGGCAGGGTATTACAAAATTCCCTTAAACTTGAATATGCATTAGTTTTAATGGTTCGCTTTTTATATTGCCTTTATGTATCTGATAGTTATACAAATTAAAATATGTCCAGTAAAAGAAAATATTATCTACCCAACACAAGAAAAGATATTTCACTTTTTGTGGTTTTACAACATGGGGTCTATTGGGAATCTCCCCGACCTAGAAGTCATATTTTTAAAGAAGATTAAATTATTTTAAATGACCTAAATCAAGATTTTTTCTACTCGCATCTGGGATATTCAGCCAGTTTATCAAAATGTTCTATTTAACTCTCTAAAATGGAGGAGGATAAACATACTGCGCATGCGCAGAAAACCAAACCAAAATGAGCGAACCTCGCGCAGAGTGCTCCTTTTCTCTTAAATACGAAAACGAATCTTCTGGTTCGCTGACAACCTCACTTTAGGGCGTGACACATATTTCATTTTTGATGGCTTATGTCTAAATAAACTTCCGGAGGAATTGGATTCCTTACCTATGCTATTCCTAATAAGTGTGACTTATGGTGCAATATGTCTATGTCAATAATCTGCAAAAGGCTAATAAGCCCATTGTTTATCAATAATAAATAATAATGCAATAAGCACTGCCACTGCCGTGTTTATGTTTCACATTTAATATCTGGCTATATACAGTATATTACAGGTATATTATTGATTTAATTTCTTATTTATTTAAGGTCTATGTTTGGATGCCTTCGGATATCTCCCCGGGGTTGACTTTGGAGAGGATTGTTGTTCATTTGTTATGTGTGATGCCGCTCGGCTCAACAAGTCCGGTGTTGTAGGTTTGTATAAAGTACTGTATAAAGCTGAATTATTGGTGTTCATGTGTTATGTGTGGTGCCACTCGACTCAACAAGTCTGGTGTTGTAGGTTTGTATAAAGTACTGTATAAAATTGAATTATTGGTGTTCATGTGTTATGTGTGGTGCCGCTCGGCTCAACAAGTCCGGTGTTGTAGGTTTGTATAAAGTACTGTATAAAGCTGAATTATTGGTGTTCATGTGTTATGTGTGGTGCCACTCGACTCAACAAGTCTGGTGTTGTAGGTTTGTATAAAGTACTGTATAAAATTGAATTATTGGTGTTCATGTGTTATGTGTGGTGCCGCTCGGCTCAACAAGTCCGGTGTTGTAGGTTTGTATAAAGTACTGTATAAAGCTGAATTATTGGTGTTCATGTGTTATGTGTGGTGCCACTCGACTCAACAAGTCTGGTGTTGTAGGTTTTTATAAAGTACTGTATAAAATTGAATTATTGGTGTTCATGTGTTATGTGTGGTGCCGCTCGGCTCAACAAGTCCGGTGTTGTAGGTTTGTATAAAGTACTGTATAAAGCTGAATTATTGGTGTTCATGTGTTATGTGTGGTGCCACTCGACTCAACAAGTCTGGTGTTGTAGGTTTGTATAAAGTACTGTATTAAATGGAATTATTGCTGTTCATGCGTTATGTGTGGTGCCGCTCGACTCAACAAGTCCGGTGTTGTAGGTTTTTATAAAGTACTGTATAAAATTGAATTATTGCTGTTCATGCGTTATGTGTGGTGCCGCTCGACTCAACAAGTCCGGTGTTGTAGGTTTGTATAAAGTACTGGATTAAGTTTAATTATTGCTGTTCATGTGTTATGTGTGGTGCCACTCGACTCAACAAGTCCGGTGTTGTAGGTTTGTATAAAGTACTGTATAAAGTTGAATTATTGCTGTTCATGCGTTATGTGTGGTGCCGATCGACTCAACAAGTCCGGTGTTGTACATGTAGGTTTGTATAAAGTACTGTATTAAGTTGAATTATTGCTGTTCATGCGTTATGTGTGGTGCCGCTCGGCTCAACAAGTCCGGTGTTGTAGGTTTGTATAAAGTACTGGATTAAGTTTAATTATTGTTGTTCGTGCGTTATGTGTGGTGCTGCTTGACTCAACAAGTCCGGTGTTGTAGGTTTGTATTAAGTACTGTATAAAGTTGAATTATTGCTGTTCATGCGTTATGTGTGGTGCCGCCGTTATGTGTTATGTCCGGTGTTGTATACATATTTTCAATTAAAACGGTAAAAATGAACGCTTCTGCTATTCTTAAGATTGTTTATTCTTGATAGTTATACAATGGAAGAAAAAATAAATTAAAGTTGTCCCTAAATCCACGTTTATTAAACGTTTTGTATTGCATGTGTAATTTTAGAAACAACTCCTAACACATTTTAATACTTTTTTAACATAACCATTGCACCTGGAAAGTTCCAAAATTCCTTTTCTGCTAGTGGCAGAGAAGAAAATATTATTGAAGAGTTTAGTCAGTTTATTAAATACACTGCACAAAATCAAACGTTTCAATATAGTCTTTTAAAAGTGAGAGAATCATCCCGATAATCCCGATAACTTTTTTTCTACTTTCGTATTTCTAGTTTCTTTGATATACGATATATCTGGATATGATCTGTAAATTTGTCATTTCAGGACAATGTATGGGAGGAACAGTATGGAACCAGGACCTCACTTTATGTGACGATCCCAAGTTTGTACCGGATTGTGATCCAAAATCATGTACAGGTACGTTCCTCTCCAATTACGAGGGTTGTCTGAGAAGTTTGACATTTTTTACTTTATTTTTTGATTTCATCAGATGTGATAAATCATATGTTGTCTTTTTATCTTTTTATTTAGTGGTAAAGAGGACAAATGCACCCTGTTCAGATCCACAGCCCAGTGACACCACCTGTTGCATAGGTCAAAAGCCAGACCAAGGGTTCTTCGGATACGAACCAGTGTACACAGCCGACGGCCCTAACGCCTACTTCAAGGGGGACGACAGACAATCTCAGACTTGCCCCGATAGTCAACTTTTCAATTTGGACACATGCTCCTGCGAATATGAATGTAAAGTTGATTCAATAGTATTATGACGTAGCTAGGGTATGAGAACGTGAATGCAACAACATCTGTGCAATTTTTTTAAACAATGAGTGTTTATAGAACAATTTATGCAGTAGAGCTTATGTGGTATCAAACGTTTGGTAATTTTGTGTACAATGCCTTTACAAAGTTTTGCAAAAACATGTACTCAATATTAGCATGAAGGTGTTGTGATGTACTCCTATTTCACGGTGTTATAGCATGACGGTTACGTCAAGGCGATTTGCAAAATTTTGCGGTAAGGATAACAAAAAATGGCGGATGGGAAAGACAGCATGTCCTCTCTCGCCTTTTGGCAAGATTCACAGTAAGATTTCCTTTTCAACTAGTTCCATTTGGTGACGTATATATTGATGGTTATAAAGACTGGGTCATATCTGTCAGGTGGTTTATAAGCAGAATATAAACTGTAAACTTACTGACTGAGATATCCCAGTTCATAATTTTTAGTCAATTCTCATGTTTTCTCAGTGTATGTGCCTCAGAGGCACTCAAACTATTTGTTGTAAGTAAACTGTGTATAAACAAGCCATAAGATGACAAATCCAGAACAGGAACGTGGTGTACGTATATTGTAAAAAATAAGGTTTCAAACGCAATGTCGTTAGACGACTACGTATGAATTCTATGGACGGTAACGTATTGTATTAGTTGTACAGTAGATATTTAGCGGACGGTTACGTGCATGTACACCTTTCAAGTCAAGGTTGTTAGTTGTGATAGCCTCTTTCCATGTCGTTATAATGGGTAAGAAATGGAATATTGAACTGCTTATATTTGTTTTCAGGACTCGTAAAATACGCTCTTGTTTGAGCCTCTATAGGGCAAGGAAAAAATTGTGTCTTGCTTTATTTATGAAACCAATGAAAGTCAAAAAGATAGCAATGAAGAGGCAAAAGAAGAATTAGCATCAATTTCTGATGAATATGACAAAATTAATGACAATGAATCGGGGATACATATTTGAACGAGGTTCGCATTACCGTCCATCAATTTTTTGCGTAACCGCAAATTCAAAATACATTATTATGGCTTGAGTAGAAAATATTAGGTGGTTTCCAATGCTCAATTGGCTTTTTATGATCGTATGTAGGTTACATCTATATACCCCGACGTCGTTAGGCAATGTAGACCATGCCCTAACGTCAAAAATAAACAAATTACTAAATTTTGTGTAATTTTGAATTTCAAACTCAACAGACATCAATTTGCAAAGACTACATTCAAAATATACATAACTAAATGCATCACCGAATGCGATGCTTACATAAGTCGTTCATCCTTTCATTGATGCATAGTAGTAGAAAATAATGCACCAACCTTAGTTTTCTGTTCCATCGCGGCCATTTTATTGGATAAATCAGTGAACGTAGCCGTCCAACCTCGTTTTCAGAGGTGGCGTAACCGTCATGCTATAACACCGTGTATTTAGGATTCAATCGATTTAGACTGAATCATGCTTATAAAAAAAAATTGTATTTGTTTGTATTTTCAAGCAAGGACTAATTTATCTTTGGATTTCACAGTTCCAATTGTATAAAAATGATATAAATATTATTCTGTAAGATTTTGATGAGACAGTTGCCTTGCCCGCCTCGTCCTAGTTTATGTACCCATTTGCAGTATTCCTTACGAAAGCGACGAAGTCATTGCCGAAATACTAAAAAATACAAACTGTAGTATGATTATTTTTTTTCATTTTTTTTATTTATTTTTATTTATTAAAATCATATAAACATATATACATATAAGTGATAATGACACCCTTAATAGCCTAAAATGGTGGTCATATTTGCGAAATAGGGTTATAAACTCATTCAGCCATATAAAAATACAAATATGAGAACTTATTTACATAATTCTATACGTTCACGTACATGTTTTTTAAAAAACGTGTATTTTAACCTCCCTAATGTTGTATTTACTATACGTCACATTCGAAATGTCCAACCCTGTTAAATGACTTGAAGAAATGGTAAGGAAACTTCCATTGAACCAAGCGCTCGGCCTATATTTGCCACTTAACGCGCTGAAGTTTTCACGCATGCGCATTTTCCGACTTATGACTCGCCGCCATTTTATACCATCTTTTACTATTTTAGTTGAACCAATTGCCGAATGCGCAGGAGAGGGTGAGTACTTCATGAACGATGACCCAAGCACCGCCAACTTCCCAGTACCCGCTAACAGTGACCTTGAGCTCGACCAGATTAACCCGACCGAAGCCGAATGCTGTTCATATCTTCAGGTGAGACTAAAACTACAGAGTCCCCCAAAATATTTTCTTAAGAAAGACCGATTTTAGAAAATTTTGTAACAAATACTGATTGACGTCATTTGTCGATTTGACCAATCAGCGACGATGTCTTCTCAGTTCACTACTACATTATAGACATATGTCTTCTCTGAACCCTGGGGTTTCCCCCTGCCCTCTTATTGGACATATTTCACATCTCCCTTAATGTCTTCCCGTAATACGAACATACATTATATCTCCAAGCCTTTGCTTGTAACATCATTATTTTTACACTCTCATGATGCTGGTAAGTCTAGTAACTTTCAGACTGTGAATGTTTCAACTAGTGCACTGGTGCAAATCAGGGATTTGACCAATCTAATGTTGGCGTAATGCTCTTTCCAGTCTTCGTCGACATGACCACATAAGAAATTAAGTGTACAGATTTTTCTGATATCACCAGTGAGTGTTGTAATATGCTAATCCGGGTATTGTGCAAGGTATATACATAATTACTAGATAAATAACACCTACTTGAGACTTATTCGTATATGGAACATGTAAAGGTTTCATTGGGGAAATGATGCGAGGTAATACGTGTCGTATTGCCATCGTTGCCATCTTAATCAGGTCCCGACCGGGGTATATTTGATATTATCATATGATCTGTAAAATGAAGCCCTCTGATTGGTCAGTTCTTGTGCTGTGCCAATGTGTATTGCTACTGGGATTGTCCCCGTTGATCATCTCCGTCGCAATACAGAAAATATTTGTACGGAGGAGACAATCTCAGTACCAATACAGAGGATCACGTGATAAAAACGTTATTGAATGATTTGAAGTGCAATACAGGACATATTCTGTCTCGATATTCAGTATTGGCACTCGACTTCGTCTCGTTCAATACTGAATTTCTCGAGCAGAATATATCCTGTATTGCACTTCAAATCATTCAATAAGTTATACTATCGTATGATCTGTAAATGAAGCCCTCTGATTTGTCAGTTCTTATATTGTACCAATCTGTATTTCTACTGAGATTGTCCCCATTGATTGTTTCCGTGGCAATACAGAAAATATTGGAACGGAGGGGATAATCTCAGTAGCAATACAGAGAATACGGAATATTTCCTAGGGAACCATATCCTAAGTAAAATGTAATGACCTAAATATCACACGACAAAAACTTCATAGAATATTTTGAAGTGCAATACAGGATATTCTGCTCTCGATATTATGTATTTGCACTCGACTTCGTCTCGTCCCACCAGTGAATTTCTCAAACAGAATATATCCTGTAATGCATTTCAAAGCATTCAGTAACTTATATTTTTCACTTATTTTCTCTAATTTATCATGTAAAGATATCAATCGAGTGCTTCTTGTCTCATCAATTCCAATTCTGTAGATTCTTACTGTGGTCAGTATCTTTTGGATTGTCATCCTTTTCAATTAATATCATGCTTGGCATTACATTCGACGCATAGCAAACTTTTACTCTGTATATACATAATAAAATCTAAACCATACTTTGCACATTTTGGTCAGTGTCTTTTGGGTTGTAATCTTTTTCAATTAATGTATTGGTTGACATTACATTCGATACATAGTAATTTTTTCTCTTTAAAGCGCAGTACATAATAAAATCTAAACCATACATTGCACATTGTAATAAGTATCTTTTGGATTGTCATCCTTTTCAATTAATATCATGCTTGGCATTACATTCGACGCATAGCAAACTTTTACTCTGTACATAATAAAATCTAAACCATACTTTGCACATTTTGGTCAGTGTCTTTTGGGTTGTAATCCTTTTCAATTAATGTATTGGTTGACATAACGTTCGATGCATAGCGAAATTTTACTCTTTAAAGCGCAGTACATAATAAAATCTAAACCATACACTGCACATTGTGATAAGTATCTTTTGGGTTGTAATCCTTTCAATTAATATAATGCTTGGCATTACATCCGATGCATAGCAAAATTTTACTCTTAAAAGCGCAGTGCATAATACAATCTAAACCATACTTTGTACATTGTGGTCATGATCAGTGTCTTTTGGGTTGTCATCTTTTTATCGTACCTAACAAAAGGTACGATATTGTAGTCAGCTTGGCGGGCGGGCGGGCGGCGTCTCACTTTTCAGCTTGTCTACAGGTTTCAAGCCAAACCATTTGAGGGATTCATCTGAAATTTTCAGGGATGTTTCTACATATCAACGTCAAGAACTGATTACTTTTTGGGCATTCTGGGTAAATCTTAAGGTGGCCATTTTAGATTTTCCGTCCTAAAATCTTCACTTTCAAGACTTGTCTACAGGTTGTCAGCCAAACCATTTGAGGGATTCATCTGAAATTTTCAGGGATGTTTCTACATATCAACGTCAAGAACTGATTACTTTTTGGGCATTCTGGGTAAATCTTAAGGTGGCCATTTTGGATTTTCCGTCCTAAAATCTTCACTTTCAAGACTTGTCTACAGGTTTTCAACCAAACCATTTGAGGGATTCATCTGAAATTTTCAGGGATGTTTCTACATATCAACGTCAAGAATTGATTAGTTTTTGGGCATTCTGGGTAAATTTTAAGGTGGCCATTTTGGATTTTCCGTCCTAAAATTTTCACTTTCAAGACTTGTCTACAGGTTTTCAGCCAAACCATTTGAGGGATTCATCTGAAATTTTCAGGGATGTTTCTACATATCAACGTCAAGAACTGATTAGTTTTTTGGCATTCTGGGTAGATTTTAAGGTGGCCATTTTGGATTTTCCGTCCTAAAATCTTTACTTTCAAGACTTGTCTACAGGTTTCCAGCCGAACCTTTTGAGGGATTCATCTGAAATTTTCAGGGATGTTTCTACATATCAACGTTAAGAACTGATTAGTTTTTGGGCATTCTGGTTAAATTTTAAGGTGGCCATTTTGGATTTTCTGTCCTAAAATCTTCACTTTCAAGACTTGTCTACAGATTTTCAGCCAAACCATTTGAGGGATTCATCTGAAATTTTCAGGAACGTTTCTACATATCAACGTCAAGAACTGATTGGTTTTTGGCCATTCTGGGAAAATTTTAAGGTGGCCATTTTGGATTTTCCGTCCTAAAATCTTCACTTTCAAGACTTGTCTACAGGTTTCCAACCAAACTGTTCAAATGTTACACAGTGATAAGTTCTAGAGCTGATTAACTTTTCTTCGGCCATCTTGCTTTCTTGGTCAACAAGACCACAATGCTGTGTTTAAGGTACGATATTGTTCACGTCTGTGCCTTGTTCAATTAATGTATTGGTTGACATAACATTCGATGCATAGCAAGATGTTACTCTTTAAATCGCAGTGCATAATACAATCTAAACCATACTTTGTACATTGTGGTCAGTGTCTTTTGGGTTGTCATCCTTTTCAATTAATGTATTGGTTGACATTACATTCGATGCATAGCGAAATTTTACTCTTTAAAGCGCAGTACAAAATAAAATCTAAACCATACATTGCACATAGTATCTTTTGGGTTGTCATCGTTTTCAATTAATGTATTGGTTGACATTACATTCGATACATAGCTATTTTTCTCTTTTATGCGCAGTACATAATAAAATCTAACCATACATTGCACATTGTGATCAGTATCTTTTGGGCTGTCATCCTTTTCAATTTTTATTCTCTTATGCGCAGTACACAATTTATTGTATCACCTATGTGTAAGGCTCGGTGGAAAGAATACGATTGAAATTTAGGTAACCTATGTAGAGCCAACGGGCAATCGTACGATCGAAGAAATTGACATTCGATTTTATATTTCATGACGTATTTCCGCCTATTAATTGTGTGTATTTAGTAGCTGTCACATTAGACGTGTGAGCTCATCGCTCGCCAGCGTGTGGCTAATTTTGGGCATAATTTGTAATCAGTTGTTTAATTTTTGCATTTGGTAAGATTAAGGAGATACCTTACCTTGCTGTAAAACTTTTTGTTTTGCCTACGTATAAATACAAAATCCACGAAAGTCCACATATAGCAGTATTTTCGGCGGGAGATTTGTATATCTCATTTATTTCGACGTTTTGACAGAATATGGTCCTGTCCATTTCGTTGAAACATTGACCATACCATGCAGATATACTTCTAGTATCACTACGTCTCAACATTGAATGAGGACTTACAAATCTCCCGCCGAAAATACTTGTATAATGTCGTAAACTTCCGGTGTTACGACGTATAAGAGAATTGGGTGTGAAACATGCAGTGCCCCGTCATCAGCCCAAATGTGTTCACACTAATGTGAACGATGAGCCAAAAATGCCTAAGTGTGTGACAGCTCCATAAGGTCCATAATGTCTTCAATGTAACTAAGAGATGCTATGTTCGATAAGTGAGCATGTAGGCTAAGCTTGTATTCACAAATGCAAATAACGGCTGTCGGTTACCGGATTAACCAAATTTTTCATGACCAACTTATTTTAAAAATGAATGGAATAATGGCAGGTGCTATTCATATTTAAATGAAATGCCCATAAACTTTTATTCCCCTTGAGAATACAAGCTTAGTTGATCAATAAAGTGGGAGGATACAAAAGTAAACACTACGCCCTCAGATGATCAAGTGTTTTGGCTAGAAAATGAACTTACCATGTATTCCTCTATATTCTGTAGTGCTATCCCAACCGAACAGGCTTCTACGTTCAGCAATGTATGCCCAGCACAGTTTGGAATGACGAGAAGAAAGCATGTGATCTCCCACAGAATGTAATGCCATGTATGAACATGCTCTGTGGCGCAGAAATGACAGATCCCCCTTGCAACGGCGATGGTGATGGTGAGTAGGCTATCAAATTGCTGAATTACGCTTATCCAAAAAGAACTTAACCGATAAGCAAAATATGCTTTGTGTCTTGTGTGATTCGCTCATTTGTCTGTTAATTATTTTGAAAGATAAATCTGTAGTTCTTTATACTTATTATTTTGTCTTCAACCAATATAATCTCTTGTAAATTGAGCTGTGGGTCTCATCTTCAAGCTTTAATGTTTGTTTTTTCTGGCCTGCAGGTCTTTGTTGTCGAGCTGGACTTTGGTATGACGTGGGTGCAGATGCTACCCAGTACATCATTTCGGATGCTCCAGGTCTCACAGGTGCAGAATACAATAGAATCGTCAACGGACGAAGTCTCATGTGTCCACGTGATATGAATGGACTACAACTAGTATTCAACCCTGACCCAGATTCCTGTTCCTGCGAGTAAAATACAGCAAAACACACGTTTATATTTCGACATTTTATAGTCTACTTCGATATACCCTAAAATAAAGGACTTCTCCACTATTCTTGAGCTTAAAACACCTTATCAATATCAATTATATTACCAATTAGAGTTTAAGAGCCGATCTCAATCTGGCAAATACCTCTGGAAAATATGCTTTGCTATGTTATAGTTTGTGTAAGATAACGCTTTAAGTTGTGACAATAAATAAAAAAAAACAAGTAAAAGCTTATGTTTGGTTTTTGTCTGGTTAAAACGTAGAGATAAGTATTCCGAATTGCGATAATCTATATCTAACTGTGTGTTTGCGTGTGTGTGTGTGTGGGGGGGTGTATAGGGATATTGTATATCGCATAAGAGGTCGAAAAATTATTGTATATTGTATCAGAGGGGGTAAATTGTATTGTCTATTATATAAGAATTGTAAAAATATTTTATATGGTATAAGAGGGCAGAAACATATTGTATGTGGATTTCCAAGACCCCCTATACACCCCCATCTGTTTCCGTGGAGAGGTCTCCGATAGACGGTATATGGGCACCCACCATATATTGGCCAACTAAAGCTGGCAAGTAAGGCAAATTGAAATAATCTAAGCAAACACTTCATTGATACTTTTATATAAGCGATTAAGACGAAAAGCTATCATCAAAGACGATGGTGGACCAGTTGATCATGAACTTCTCTTTTAGATAACATACAATCCAAGTTGAAGGAACTATTACATTATTTTATTACTCAGGAACCTCTGGAACTATACATGTATAAATGCAAAATTTGGTGTATGTAGGTTTAGAAATAAAAAGTTATAATGTTTTTTTAAAGTGGTGTTTTTTGGCCAACCTGTGACGTGACCAATGAAGGTGAGCAATACCTCTTGGGTATGTCCCGTATATATACGGTCGTAATTTACGTAATTAACATGGAAGATAGACCCAGTTAAACCCCTCCTTGAAGGAGCCCTTTGTTATTTTATGTGCACCTATACATAGACATACAAGTACACACCACAGCCTTTTGTACGTGTTGCGGACCACTCAGTCAAACAAGTAAATACGCAAACAAGCATTTAGTCTTGCCTGAACCAAATCTGTTAGATCTGATTGTGCATTTTATGTAAAATTATATCAATATGGGATCAATTAGTAGGTTTTGAAAAATATTTGCATAACTAGAATTCGCCCTACATAAATTCTTTAAACATAGGGACAATATTGTATGTAAGAGAGTTCTGAATGATTTGGGCATTCTGGAATGACTGGTATAACAGGTAGATAAAATAGATCTATTTAAAAGTTAAAAATAAACCGTGGTGATTTGAGAGCCCATAGTCTAATATTGTCCAGATACTTATCCCCCAAAATGTGTATATTTAACATGTTGTATACTCTCATCCACCAATGTACACACTACTATACCCCCATACTGTATCCTGTATTCCTTTAAAAGAAGTACAGGCTACAGGGAAGTTGCAAATGGAGGACGTTTGTTTATTTCCATAGTTCTGAATGTATACTAGATTTTACACATATTCTAAGTGTTCTACTATACATTGCATAGATTCATCGAGCAGTTTGCAACGTATTATTACCAGAAAAGCCCAAATGGACAAAGATAGAGAATACCCGCTCCATTTGCAACTTAACCGTACCCTGTATCATTTTTAAATGTGGTCACGTGGTAGGGTAGTGTGAATGTATGGCCTCTTGAAAGTTCTCTTATTTAAAAAAAATCCTCACTTCAGCAAATCCAAAGCCACTATCATCTTGTGAAAGTGTAACACACTAGCAAAAGTTCAATGTTATAATTCACCTCCCTGCTGTCAGCCATATTGAATTAATCAGGTGATCTGATTGGTTGTTGAAATTTTCATGATGGCTGAACAAGGACGTTTCCAACTTCCTGTTCAAGGAGGATTGGCTCCCAGGATCGGCTATCGATATTTTCCAACAATGAAAACGTCGAAATGTCGTTATTTTCTGAAATTATTACCGAAGATAAATTTAAAATAAACAGTCCAAAAAATTCGAACCAATATATCGATCATTTCTTGTGAGTTTTGGAATTTTTCATTTAGGAATAAGACCAAAATTCACGATTCAAATGCTGAAGTGAACAAAATGGTGGCTGTTTGAATTCAACTTTTGAATCACGACATTTCCATATATGGGACAGAATATCGATGTTGCACTCTGGGAGCCAATCCTCCTTGTTCCTGTTGAAACACTTACCTCTAAACTTTGCCTTGATGACATTTCCATCAGAAAGTGGATGCATTGCATTGAGAATACTCCAGTGTTTAGATATGCTATGAGTAAAGTTAAAATTATATTCAATGTTTAGAAAACATCTTTACAAATGAAGCATAATAATCAGTAAAATTGCTGTTTTTCATCAGTCAAGATGACGGTCATGCTTTGAATGGAGACGCGTATCGTCTGCATCATTTAAAAATTTGACAACATTTTGATTAGTTTGTGAAAACAGTTCTACAGCCTCGAGCGAACTCGATACTAACTTACTTCTTGAAAAGGGCATACTCATCTTACATGTACTTTTTATCATCAAAATGGCGGCGATCGCAAGCACAATTGTCTAATATCATTGATTGAGCTGCAAATTTTGAACTTTCCACCATCTTTGAAATCTCATTTGTGACTCCTTAGGTAGATAAATAATGACCGACTTTGTATAATATATACCTAGTCATGATTATTCACCTTTCTTTGATTGTGCTCATTGTAACAGTACCGAAAGAAGAGGAATTATTTATTTTACTGTTTAAAGCTTCCATGGTATTCAGTTAATGCTTTTGCACATTTTGCGAGTCTATATCATTCCCAGTGTCATCCCTCCAATGAACAAAACGATTATTTTGCTCATTTGTGCATTTTCAATTAATCCTCACTTTCTTTTCTTCGTAAAATATTCGTTGAAATATTTTTCTCATATGTCATTTTAACTTACACTGAACGAAAACAAGTTCTTTGAAAATTCTCAGGAGGATGGGGTATCGTTATTATTGTATTATCTAATAAGCCTGGCCATTGAATACGGTCAGCTATCAATTGACATGTGACCGGTTTTGACCAATCATACAGTTGCTAGATATATAGTTATATGACAATATATGTTAATCATCTCTAGTTTTGCAGATGGTCTTCGAAGTATAGTTCGAACTGATAATCTTCGAATGCTATCAGTGAGAATTATGCTGCAATATACAGTATGCTACACAATACTATTATATTATACTGCAATATATGAAATACAATAACATTCAGCTTTACTGCGACATAGGATTTACAATAGCATTCAGTTATACTGCAATATATGAAATACAATAACATTCAACTATATTGTTTAGTAATATGTGAAAAACAATAAAGTTCATTTTGCCTCAATACTAGATATAGTACATGATACACAATAATTCATTAATGCTACAACATACACGTATGATATACAATAGCATCCAAAGTATAAGTGAACTAAATTGACTAGCTGATGTTTTTACCGGAAGCACAACTGGCAACATCACAAGACAACATTCAACTCTAGCACGTGATCAACTTTACGACCAATCAAACTCTGAGTAAAACCTATTTATATTACCAAAGGAGGTTAGACAAAGGCATGCTGTGCTTTTTTGAAGTAAATCATAAATACGATGTGTTGTACTATCTAAAATAACAATTTCGATTCTAAACTTGCTATCAATTGCGCTACGTGGAGACATGATATGTCACACCAATCGATTACTTTCTATGATAAAGTATGACAAAATCAACATGTTTTTAGAATTTTATGCTTTTGTAAATACTACACAAAATACAATCTTAGTGATGTATGACCACGGTATTGTTATGTCTAGTTGTACACATTTTGATCTAGAGTTTGAAAAAATACACTATCCTGAAAAACTGTGCCAACCATGACTTTATATTGGTTTAATCCCAGAAGTGTTTATTAAGGTGTGAACTATAATCCTCCATTTTTATTTTGTTAAATATTGTGATAGATAGATTTCATTTGTCAAATTCGTTGTCTTTTCAATCGCCAAGATAGACTGGTTTCCAACATGCACGGCGGATAGATGTTACCAACCTCTTGGTGGGGAGTGGCCACTACCCATCTAATATCCTAACATAAATATACATTCTGTGTGTCACGTTCGTCATATTCAACCATGATGCCACAGGGTACCATCTCGGTGGCTACCCTATTCATTCTGGTCATAAAAGGTAAGTCCGATATAAAATGATTTCTTTTTTTGCATAATTTTATTTACTATCAAGGAACGTGGAAAGATCCATCGTACGATTCAATATATATTTAAATGCATCTTGTAATTTAAACATCATCTTGAAGATACAAGATATTATATGTAAAAATACTGTATTATCTCTGCTCTATTGCTGATATAAATATAATTGAACAGTTCTGCCATATTTAGGATATAATGAGTTGAATGAAAAAATATATTTAAGCGTTGTTAAAAAGGTATATTGGATGGAAATTTCAAATCCATAAACATATTGTTCTTGTCGAATTTAAAGTTTCTGCTTTAGAGACTATAAACTTGATATATTTTGAATTATCTCCGTCTAAAAGGGACGAGGAATTAAAATCCAAAAATTGGGATTTGTTCAAGCAATGAAAATCAACATTATATAATCTGTTTTTAAATTGTACTTTTCTCATGTTTCATCAGTCGCTCGTAGAAGGAGAATAAGAGGGTTTGATTAGAAGAAACAAAATCAAATAGGTTTATCTAAAAGGGATTGTACATAGGACTCACCAAAAGGAAATATATCATTTTCTATTTTCAATAATCGTCTGACACATCGACACTACACTGGACGAAATTACAAGAGAAAAAACACAATAATTAAAATTCATATAAACCCTAGAGGTCACTGGTGATCCACTCGATTACGCTGGAACCGTTTCGGTAACAAAATGTCGGAACGTCGAAGGTACGATTTTTCGTTTTTCCTAATTTCACACGTTGTAGGATGAATTCCCACGACCTTTTTTATCAAAAACGTGTGTCAGTATCATATGATTAAGAAAATGTACACATTTGCGAACAAATAGTTCAGAAGACAACTGAATCGTCGATTTAACCCCTCACTTAAGTTACCGAAACGGTTTTTCGAAAAACAGTTACGATCTGCACTTTTAACCCTTACCGTTTATGTAACTTAAGTGAGGAATTAAATCGACGATTCTGTTTTTCGCAAACATGTACCTTCGACGTTCCGTTTCGGTAACTAGCGTAATCGAGCGGATCACCAGTGGAGGAGCCTGGGAAGTACTTTGTACAGGGTACATGTCAAAATTCTAATATCATTTTTATCAATTTCATGTGCTACATAACCTGATACCACGGTGATCATAGTCCATATATAGTTATTTGCAAGTTTTATCAGCAATACAATTCCTTGATTTAAAAGGTGAACATTGTAAAAAATACGTTTTCACAGATAAACACAGACTGTGTTATGTAAAACCCATAAGGATATTTAATATATATGCACAAGGTCATTGAAATTCAATTTACAAAGGAATTCTACTTGTATTGGTTAAACTAATGCGATTTATTTATTTCAGTTTACGAGGGATATGCAACATATTATGTTCCGCCACGTGAGTATTTTTACATATAAAGTGTCCCAAAAATTCAAGCTTTAAAATATGATTCAGGCAAAATTGTTTTTCCTACGGAAGTGATACAAAAAAAGCTTCTACAAATATTATAAAATTTTACACAATCAGTAAAATATACATTTGAAGATACTTCAATGCTTTATACAGGGTGTTCAAAAAACGCAACCCATAGAAATCGCTATATCTTGGAAAAAAAAAATATCTTGGAAAATACTTATCATGTTCATTTTTCTGCATTTATTTCGTATCTTTCTAATACTAATGTCTTTTAAACAGGTGTCCAAGGCATCATGTTTTACAACTAACCAACAACATGAGTTTTACATAAACAGTCTCTTCTTTCTTTCCTGAAAAAATGAACACAATTGGACAAGTATTTTCCAAGATATAGCGATATTTCTTGGGGTTGCGTTTTTTAACACCCTGTATTTGCTAATACTAACTGAAGCAAGAGCACCATTCTTGCGGAATATTATGATGCTAGATAACAGCTTATGCATATTGTTTATTAGATTGTATTCAATTTTAGGACAAACATGTGCTTATTGGGGATCGTGGGCTGATGTCCCAGGCCAATGTAATCCACCACCAACATGCAACCCGATATCAAAACGTGAGATAGAACATGCAGTAACCAAACGTTCGTCTCCCGTACGATGCACCATGACGAATTACCAATGTAAAGTAACAAGAACATGCCAAAGGTGTGGATACCAAAAACGCAGTGGCGGATCGTCGTGTTCAAGAGTAGAATACAAAACAGTTAATCGCTTGTGCTGTAAACCAATTCCCACTACTCCGCCACCTCCGCCCCGTCCAAGTAAGTATTCAATTCGATTTTCAATTCATTATTTATTTCATAATTGTTATGAGATATACACTATAAAAAAGCCGCTAGACTAGGTATATGTTGCGGTTTAACAGAAATTTTTAAAATGACATCTTGACTACATATATAAAATATATTCAAATTAATCAAGGTAATCAAACAATTACAGTTTATGATACTACAGGGTGGGCCAAAAAACGCCACTTTTTTTTCAAGACACTACAACTTTTTTATTTTCCAACCTACATACCCCAAATTTTGCAGTTATATAGTGCCAGGGGTTCTAAGTAATAATATAATGTAACAAGTCCTTCAACTTGGATTATATTTGATTTAAAAGAGGAGTTCAATTGGTCCGCCACCCTATTTGATGATATATTTTAGTTTTAGTTGCCTCGCTGATATAGCAGTATCAATGAAATGTTAGCTAAGTTTTTTCAACCTGTCTTTATTGCCAGCTTTAGTTGAGTAATTTTCTTAATTGGGTGCCTTCATACAATCTCCTGGAAACATTCCCATACCCTATACTCACTGGGGTTTGCATCAGGGCTATAAGCTTGGCGATCATCAGGCCGTATCAATTCAGGAACATTTTGCAAATTATGCTTATTTCTCATGGCACACCACATGTTTAAGTGAGACGCTGGTGACATATTTTATTCAAGTAAAAGTTTCAATTCATGATCCATGGCTAGATAACAACCTCAAGTTTCATTTGGTTTGCTAATTATGATTTTTTATGAAAAATTAAAAAAGTTATAGCATTTTTTTTAAAAAGTGGCGTTTTTTGCCCACCCTGTATATTGTGTAAAACGTATTAGCGAATTACATTACGCGCTTAATGCAAAAATCTCTAATTATTGTTTAAGTGAATATTAATGTACCAATGGATGTAATGTACCTAAACATTAAAAGAGAATAAAATGTCATTCCTCTATCACAGCATGTCTTGAACTATTTATTTTGCAATACGAAAATTAAAGATAATGATTCCTCACAAGCCTTTAAAGTATGTTACTCAGCGCCTTAAATACGACACACTGCATCGAATGTCAAGCTTGGCCCATGTTATAGGCTACTGTATAGTTAATATGTTTTACTCCTTTAACCCTAGAAGCCCTAAGGGGGGGGTCAAAATGACCCCCCCTGTTAAGTTTTTTCTCCATAACTTTTTATTGACATCTAGTAGGATCTTCAAATTTTCAGTAGCTGGAGCTACAGATATAACACATGTTTTCTGAAAAAATCAGCAAAATTGCACATAGGGTATTTGATTTATTATGATGTTATCATCAGCTCCAATATAAAAAATCAGAAAAAGCTAGCACTATTTCTACCATACGTGTTATCTTTAGAGTAAAATTATGCAATCTTACATAATCAAAGTTGTTGAAGTTATTACACCAAGTTGTAGATAATTGAATGAAGTATGTTTTGGGAAAGTTTGAACATCCTAGCTTTACTAGTTCGTTATAAATTCATTATGCTGTAATCATCATCTTCAATAGATAAAAGCGGAAAAAAGCTCGCACCAATTCTATCATACGTGTTGTCTTTAGAATGAAATCACGCAATCTTACGCCATCATAGTTGTTAAAGTTATTACACCAAGTTGTAGGTAATTGAATGAAGTATATTTGGGGAAAGTTTGAACTTCCTAGCTCCACTAATAAAAATTGAATATAAAAGCTTATAATTATACACTATGGCCTGACTATGACGAATATTTCGAAACGTTTCTTTTTGTTCCTTATCATATTTAAATATATATAACCGATTTAATTATTTTACAACTATCTATCATTACGATAAGGAAATTGATTTGGTTTGCTTTGATTTGTTTTCATACAGCGTAGTTGCTGGTGTCGACGCATATTTGTCATTATATTATATTATACCAGATTTATCTATTTCCCCAAAATTTAAGTAATATAAACAAAGCACTGGACGAAGTAAATGCAAAATATAATTTGATCTAGAGTATCGAAAACATATATATCAAACCCTAGTCGTTATGAAAATGTTATTACAGACTTGAGTGACTCCTCAAAAACCTCTTGGAATTAATTTTATTATTTATTTATTTTTTCAAAGGAAAAATGAAAAAAAACAGTTCTTTATAATTTCTAAAGCATGTTACTGGAAACCTTGGGGAGGCTACACAAAATACGGACATTGTGTTGCAAAAGGTCCATCGACGCAACAATGCTATAAACCTGGTATTTCAACATGTTATCGAATCAGGCAATGTCACTGTACAATACCTGGATATCGTGGTCCTGGTTATTGTAGTGGATCTTCGAAGGAGTATAAAACCAAGCCATGTTGTCTGCCTTTAAGTAGGTGAACATATTACAGTATAGTTTCTTTTGGCTGATTTTAATATTTAAAATATAAAGTAAAGATGAAACATGATGTACAATTTTCACATAGTATTTCAAATTTTCAGGACTTTCATTTAATCAACCAATCATAAAGAGTAGCATAAATTAAGTATTTTAAATTTTAAAATTTGTCATGCGAGAACATCGATTCTAGTATTAAAGATCATATTTAGAGTAAAGATAAACGTTTTGATTTATTCCATTTGAAGTAGTCATATTCAAAGATTCAACGGGTTTTGAATCAACTGCATCAATATTATATCAGGATAACATACTGTGTGTGCACGTGATTCTCATGAAATTAAATATTTGTCAAAACGTAAACTTTTGATTTATTAACTTCTGCAAAAGCTTGTAAATGGAAACCTTGGGGAACGTGGGTAAAGGGCACTTGCATGAAACAAGGACAACCCCAGCCAAACCACCGCTGCCCGACGCCTCTTCATCTGCAAGGGAAATATAAGTGCTATAGAACCCGTCGGTGCTATTGTGATGGACGAGGTTACAGCGAATCAAAGTATTGCAGTGGGCCTTCAAAAGAATATGAATACAAGCCATGTTGTCTGCCTCCACGTAAGTGAACGTATTACTGAATTTTATGAGCCTCGCTATTGATTTAAACAGGTATTGCAATATAGTGTTAAAGGAATTGACAATAATTTTAAAATTACCTCCTGTTCAAGTTGCAATCATTTTTATAGATTATATGGATAGATTTAATATCACTGAATATGGTATTGCTTGTTGAGAACCACACAACATTACCATTTATCATTTATTTGAGATTTAAGCAGGGGTCCATTTTTTAAAGAAATAAACATTTTAAAGGATTTTTTGTGAATAGATAATATATGTACAAAAAGTATGAATTATTAGATATCAAGAGCATAATGTAAAATTTCAACTGGAAAGTTAGATCAAAATGGAATCCGAGTTCACAGTGGGGGGTATAACTCATCAAACACTGTATAATTTTTTAAAGCTTATTGTTACAGCCTTATGTTTTTAATTTGCTTTTGTTAGTAAGGATTATATCATTGACCATTTACGAATTTTTGTGCACCATACAAGGTTACATAGAACTTCATTTATGAACGATTTCAGCAGGGGTCTATTATAGTCTGGGGTCTGGATAGTTCTTAGATGGAAAGCTAGTACATTGTTACGATTAAATTACATCATTAAGGTATATAAATCATGAAAGCAGATTTCATCCTAATGTCTACAACCTAATTCGTATAACGCCATGTCACAAATGGGGGGGGGGGGACATTGACCTCCACTTGGGGATCTTTATCACTTATATGATTTCAATATTACAATAATGTTGGTATCATTATAAACAGGCACTAAATAAGTGTAGACTATTATAGGTATATAAGATTTATACAATTTATACAATTGAAACTGTAAAACGAGATAACATTTGGGCTCTAAAATCACAATGAATGGTATGACTAATCACATATTTACATTTTAAGGTTATTATGATATCCTAGCAATTTAAATTGGTTTAAATAGTTATAATTGAATCATTTGCAGATTCTGAATTTTTCGAATATCTTAAAATGGTTCAGATTTTCATTTATTGAAGATTTAATTCAAGTCTAATTCAAAAAGATGAATATTTCTGTGGATAGTTCTCAGATCAACTACCACCTTGCCAGGAATGTTATATGGGTATTAGTGCAAGTTTAGAAGGCATTTATGTTACTTTATCGATCTGAGCAATATGTGACGTCATAGTGGCGGGCCATAGTGGCAGGCCAATTATGCATGAACGCCCGGCAATTTTCCCCGGGAAATGACATATCGTTCAATGCATATAATTTTTGCTATTTCAGCCCTGGGCATTAACTGTGGTAATACTAATAACCTCATTTCTGCGGGCAATATTACACAAATACTGGATGATCAGGAGCTTGATATGGCAGAATACCTATTCGAGAAAAAAATATAAGGCGAGGCGGTATTAATTAATTTTAATATAGCGTTTGGGTTCTAGCAGGCTAACAGGCTTGCAGAGATAGCCTGTATCGCAAAAATCATATATCCTTTCACCCCACATCATATCATATGCTTTATTGATGTTAAAATCTAATTTTATAAATAGTGGAAATAAATTCTTAATTCATCTTGGATTATAATTTAAATGCAAAAGCCGATTCATAAGTAGATAATTCGTTGTAAACTTCAAAAGTGTCAATATCTAATATTTTTCATTATTATGAACCTCTGTTCAACCCCTCAATGATAAGTAAACGATAATGTTGACAGGTCCTCAACGGGTGAAAACGTATGTAGGAACATGTTTTAGCACTTAAACATATCATTTAACAATTGGCGGATCAACGAAAAACATGATGATGTTAAAAGAAATTGAACTAAATGGAACCATTATTTTTATCATTTTGAATGCAAAATATAGTCATACTAATAAACTTTCCAAAAGCCGATAAATGAGTAGATAATCTGTTGTAAACTTAAAAATATCAAAATCTAATATTTTTGTTAACCCCTGTTAAACCCCTCAATATATAAGGAAACGGTAATGTTGACAGGTCCTCAACAGGTAAAAATGTATATAGGAATATATGTTTTATCATTTAAATATCAAAACAATTGGCAGATCAACAAAAAACAAGATGATGTTAAAAGAGAATGAACTGTTAATGGAATCATTGTTTTTAATCATTTTGAATGCAAAATATAATCAGACAGATGATTTTATTTTTAATTAAACAGATAAGATCGCAATACGTCATACTAATGAGAAAATGGCAACTCCACGGAGTAACAAATCCCAACGAACACTATATAAATCATCAATCTTTACAGTCACAATGTAATATTTACCATCTACTCTTTCCTTCAATAAATATTTTAGATTAGATTATTGTAACCATACTTTCAAGATAACTCTAAATAATGGCGAATTTCTGCTCTAGTCAGATATTTTGAATTTTCAGAGGCACAAATCTGAAAACACTGCCATAATTGTGATCTACTCTGAAATTCCTTCAATTTGAGTATAATATAGCCATACTTTTAAGAGATCAGAAAATAATTGCGAAATTCCGCATTAGACAGCCATTTTGAATTTTTTAGGCCCGAATCAGAAAAAAGCTACAATATTTGCAATCTACTCTAATTGTATTTTCTCAACCCCCCCCCCCCCCATTTACGGCCCCTGGGGGTCAGGGTGAAAAATCCAGGATATATGTGAAATAGATAGATATTGTTAATATACTACCAAAATTTCAAACAATAATGTTTCTTATTTTGGTTTAAAACGAAAAACATAAGATTTTTAAAACATTTTTAAACTGGTGGCCATCTTGAAAATTTTTTTTGCATATAACTATTCACCAATATATATCTTTCCACCAAATATGAAGAAAATCTGCCTTCTAGTATTAAAGTTATCTTCCGGACAGACGGACGGATGGACTGACTGACTGACGGACGGAGGGCTTCGCTATATCCCTACTGAACTTCGTTCGTTGGGATAATAAACTTTCCAAAAATCTGAATAATGAGTAGATAATCTGTTGTAAACTTCAAAAATATCAAAATCTAATATTTTTGTTGACCCCTGTTTAACCCCTCGATAATGAGTAAACGGTAATGTTGACAGGTCCTCAACAGGTCAAAATGTATGTAGTAATATATGTTTTATCATTTAAACATATCAAAACAATTGGTGGATCAACAAAAAACAAGATCATGTTAAAAGAAAGTGAACTAAATGGAACCGTTATTTTTAATCCGTTTGAATGGAAAATATAATCAGATCTTATTTTCAATTTAACAGATAAAATCAATAGGTCATGCTAATAAGCTTCCCAAAAACCGATTCATAAGTAGATAATCTGTTGTAAACTTCCAAGAATATCAAAATCTAATATTTTTTTTATTTTTTGTGGACCCCTGTAAACCCCTCAATAATAAGTAAATGATAATGTTGACAAGTGCTCAACATGTGAAAACGTATGGTGGAATATATGTTTTATCATTTCAAGATATCAAAACAATTGGCGGATCAACAAAAAACAAGATGATGTTAAAAGAAAGTGAACTTAATGGAACAATTATTTTTAATCATTTTGAATGCAAAATATAATCAGACAGACGATCTTATTTTCAATAATCAGATAAAATGAATATGTCATGCTAATAACCTTCCCAAAATCCGATTCATAAGTAGACAATCCGTTGTAAACTTCAAAATATCAAAATCTAATATTTTTTAATTTTTGTGGACCCCTGCTAAACCCCTCAATAATAAGTAAACGGTAATGTTGACAAGTGCTCAACAAGTGAAAACGTGTGAAGGAATATGTGTTTCATCATTTAAACTCATCAAAACGATTGTAGGATGAACAGGAGGAAACAGCTTAATTAAGGCTTATCTGAAAAATTCCTTTATCCCTAATAATATATTTCTATTACACTAAGATATTGGCCACTCAATATGTTTTACTTTTTTTTATGCTAAATGTAATAATTCATAGCAATTTCAACGCTTTGTAAGATATTTCTATTTCTATTATTTTGAGAATTTAAAAATTGTATTTCGAGTTATAGTCCTTATAAAACTTTTCGATTCATTCAGTTGGAAACAGTTGTTTATGTATGTTTGTAGAGATTAAACAATATCTTTATAAAATGTTAACTAGATCTGAATATTGATTTAATACAATGTGTATGCAAGTGATACATGCAATTTAAAAGTAAAATCTATGTCAAAAGAGTACACTGGGGGTGACACTCTCGCATGTTTAATTTTGTTAAAGCTTGTAAATGGAAGCCTTGGGGAACATGGATAAAGGGCTCATGTGTGAAACTTGGACAACCTTTACCGTACAACAGCTGTCCTTCGCCTCTACATTTGCCAGGGAAATATAAGTGTTATAGAACTCGTCGTTGTTATTGTGAAGGACGGGGCTACAGCGATTCAGACTATTGTAGTGGATCTTCTGAAGAGACTGAATACAAGCCATGCTGCCTTCCACCACCACCAAGTAAGTACACGTGTAACCAAACAAAGTTCCTAGGAATCCAGAAAAACAATCCGTTCCTTCAGTTCATCTGTTCTGGCAATAACTTAAAAACTATTTGTGAATTTGGTTCAATTGAATACCCTTATACCTTATGGGTCAAGGGCCTCTGCTAGATGAATTTTTTAAAATGGCTGTTCAATTCAAAATGGCTACCCTTTATGGATTTGGTCAAAAAATGACACAAATGGGAAATGACCTCTGCTAAAAGGGTTATTTCAATATTGTTGCTTGTTTCAAAATGGCTGCATTTTTGGAAAAATTATTCTTTGATAACTCAAATACTCGACAGATTTGGTTGAACGTTTATATGCTTAAGGGACATACGACTCCACTCAAGCATGAATTTTTAAGATGGTTGTTAAATTCATACTGGCTGCAATTTTCCATAAAAAAATGCAATCTCGATTAAATTATAGTATTTGGTTCAAATTGCTTAGACTAATGTCAAACGGGGTAGGACCTCTGTTCAGAATATGTTCACTTCATTCAAAATGGGCGCATTTTTAAGGAAAACATATTCGTCGAAAAGAATCGTTGACGGATTTTGATCAAATGTTACAGAAATCAGCCAATGAAAATTTTTTCCAAAAAGTAAATGCCATTTCAAACCATAGGCGTCATTTGATCCAAAAAGAAGGAAAACTACTCTATTATTTTTATTTTTGTCTTGTTATGGCCAATTTGACATATATTATGATCTGCGCATACAGAGTGACCAGAAAAAGTGGACCATGTTTCCCTTTATCGTCTACATATATGCCGTGATCAGGTTCATTTTTGACACAAATGTGCGTTACTTAAAGTATGAAATAATCTCCGTCCACTTTTATTCGATGGTTATTCCGGTCACTATAAATTAGCTGATGAAAGCAATTAAAGCTAAGATAAGAGCTATCACTGTTGAAGAATGTGTCAGGATGATCAAACACTTTGAGCGTGAAATCAACGTTTGTCATCAGCGCGGGGGAGCACTTATGAAGCATGTCCTGGATTACCTGGAATAGTCATCAAATGGAAATGGAGGGAGATTGACATTTCACAATTATACATAATGTCATACATTGACTAATGTACATTTGAAATGTACCAAAACTGAACCTGATCATGGCATTTATGTGAAAGTTAAAGGAGAAAACAACGGTCCACTATTTTTCTGGTCACCCTGTATTTACATATTTCCTAGTTGGATGTTGTACATTGTTACATTACAATTTGCTCAGTCTTACGTTTATATGAACATAACGAACGAGAGTTATGATTTCTAGGCTCTATAAATGAAGAACAATACTTTGTATTGCATTGACATATACCTACTGTAGTATTTTAGAAACTAGCAAGTCAAATGAATACAAGGCATTAACATGACAAAATGTCACCACCTAAAACAATTTGGTCAATTTAAAGCAAGTTGAAAAAATACCTCTTTGACTTTTTTTGACATTGAGAAGGTCATTGAAGGTCAAATGTCAAATGTAAAGTCAGATTTGAACTTCTGAGAACATGTAGATGATTTTGAAAAAAAATTAAGTCAATTTGAAGCAAGTTGAAAAAAGACCTTTTTGACCTTGAAAAGGTCATTGAAGGTCAAATGTCAAATCTCAAGTCAGATTTGGACTTCTGAGAACATGTAGATGATTTTGAAAAAAAAATTAGTCAATTTGAAGCAAGTTGAAAAAAGACCTTTTTGACCTTGAGAAGGTCATTGAAGGTCAAAGGTCAAATCTAAAGTCAGATTTGAACTTCTGAGAACTTGTAAAGTCAAATTTGAACTTCTGAAAAGATGTAGATGATTTTGAAAAAAAAAATTGGTCAATTTGAAGCAAGTTGAAAACAGACCTTTTTGACCTTTTTTGACCTTGAGAAGGTCATTAAAGGTCAAATGTCAAATCTAAAGTCAGATTTGAATTTCTGAGAACATGTAGATGATTTTGAAAAAAAAATTAGTCAATTTGAAGCAAGTTGAAAAAAGACCTTTTTGACCTTTTTTGACCTTGAGAAGGTCATTGAAGGTCAAATGTCAAATCTAAAGTCAAATCTAAAGTCATATTTGAATTTCTGAGAACATGTAGATGATTTTGAAAAAAAGATTTAGTCAATTTGAAGCAAGATGAAAAAATACCTTTTTGACCTTTTTTGACATTGAGAAGGTCATTGAAGGTCAAATGTCAAATCTAAAGTCAGATTTGAATTTCTGAGAACATGTAGATGATTTTGAAAAAAAAATTTAGTCAATTTGAAGCAAGTTGAAAAAAGACCTTTTTGACCTTTTTTGACTTTGAGAAGGTCATTGAAGGTCAAATGTCAAATCTTAAGTCAAATCTAAAGTCAGATTTGAATTTCTGAGAACACGTAGATGATTTTGAAAAAATTTCTTAGTCAATTTGAAGCAAGTTGAAAACAGACCTTTTTGACCTTTTTTGACCTTGAGAAGGTCATTGAAGGTCAAATGTCAAATCTAAAGTCAGATTTGAAGGTCAAATGTCAAATCTAAAGTCAGATTTGAATTTCTGAGAACATGTAGATGATTTTGAAAAAAAATTGAGTCAATGTGAAGCACGTTGAAAAAAGACCTTTTTGACCTTGAGAAGGTCATTGAAGGTCAAATGTCAAATCTTAAGTCAGATTTGAACTTCTGAGAACATGTAGATGATTTTTAAAAAAAAATTAGTCAATTTGAAGCAAGTTGAAAAAAGACCTTTTTGACCTTGAGAAGGTCATTGAAGGTCAAAAGTCAAATCTAAAGTCAGATTTGAACTTCTGAGAACTTGTAAAGTCAAATTTGAACTTCTGAAAAGATGTAGATGATTTTGAAAAAAAAATTTGGTCAATTTGAAGCAAGTTGAAAACAGACCTTTTTGACCTTTTTTGACCTTGAGAAGGTCATTAAAGGTCAAATGTCAAATCTAAAGTCAGATTTGAATTTCTGAGAACATGTAGATGATTTTGAAAAAAAAATTAGTCAATTTGAAGCAAGTTGAAAAAAGACCTTTTTGACCTTTTTTGACCTTGAGAAGGTCATTGAAGGTCAAATGTCAAATCTAAAGTCAAATCTAAAGTCATATTTGAATTTCTGAGAACATGTAGATGATTTTGAAAAAAAGATTTAGTCAATTTGAAGCAAGTTGAAAACAGACCTTTTTGACCTTTTTTGACATTGAGAAGGTCATTGAAGGTCAAATGTCAAATCTAAAGTCAGATTTGAATTTCTGAGAACATGAATATGATTTTGAAAAAAAATTTTAGTCAATTTGAAGCAAGTTGAAAAAAGACCTTTTTGACCTTTTTTTACTTTGAGAAGGTCATTGAAGGTCAAATGTCAAATCTTAAGTCAAATCTAAAGTCAGATTTGAATTTCTGAGAACACGTAGATGATTTTGAAAAAATTTCTTAGTCAATTTGAAGCAAGTTGAAAACAGACCTTTTTGACCTTTTTTGACCTTGAGAAGGTCATTGAAGGTCAAGTGTCAAATCTAAAGTCAGATTTGAAGGTCAAATGTCAAATCTAAAGTCAGATTTGAATTTCTGAGAACATGTAGATGATTTTGAAAAAAAATTGAGTCAATGTGAAGCAAGTTGAAAAAAGACCTTTTTGACCTTGAGAAGGTCATTGAAGGTCAAATGTCAAATCTTAAGTCAGATTTGAACTTCTGAGAACATGTAGATGATTTAGAAAAAAATTGAAGTCAATCTAAACAGTATTTGTTAAGTTATAGGAAGTTGTAAGAAATTGTTACAGACGCCGGACGCCAACCGCCGGACGCCAACCACCAACCGCCGGACGCCGTCACAAAAAAACGGAGACCATAACAATATGTCACCACTTTTGGTGGTGACATAAAAACGACTCTTATGAATCCGTTGCTTGGTATAACAGAGCACCATTCTAATCGAACTCTGAAGAGCTTCATTTGATTTTTTAATTACCATCATTTTAAAAGCATATGCTTTGTGGTTGTATTCCGTTTGCCACTAGAAAGCCAAGAATAATGATTTTTTACATTTATTTAAAGCGTGTCACTGGGAATCTTGGGGAGACTACACACCATATGGGGCGTGTATTGAAAAAGGATTACCGTCAACGCCTCAATGCTATAAACCGGGTATTTCAACATGCTATCGAACTCGGCAATGCCGCTGTACAGTACCTGGATATCGTGGTCCAGGGTATTGTATTGGATCTTCGAAAGAGTATAAAACAAAGCCATGCTGTCTGCCTCCAAGTGGGTGCACATGTTTTGTTCAATCTATGTATTTCTAGGAGTAGATCACTTAATATCTAACTGCTGAACCAGATATCAGCACATTTCCTCTTTTAATTGTAAAGTTTAAAAACGTTTTGCAACAATTTACCCGTTAATCCCTTTGTCTCTGATTGAGTTGATGTACACGTTTCCTTTTATGTCATACAGGGTGATCACAAAATAAGATAAACGATACTGTAACTTAATTCTAATTTTGCACCAATCTTGGTGAAATATGGAGAGGATTTTTTTACATTTGTTCTGTAAATATCAAGGTTTTCCCATTTAATTGGCTTGAGTTATGATGGCTATAGCAACAGAAACATCAAAAAGTGGGGCACTTGCCCACTCACACACAGCTTTGCTCACTAGTGAAGTTATAAGCACATTTGGGCTACCCCTACCTGGACACACCCCCCCCCCATATTCACCAGACCTGGCACCTGACTTTTATCTATATGCTAAACTCCGTGGAGATTTTCCTGGGTTATATATCTGACTTGGAATAAGTTATCAAACACTTTTTGACATTTTATTTTAGTGAGGCAACGTCTCATTGATTTGCTAAACGTGACTGTATTATTATTTTCAGTTTTGTCATCATAGGAATTCATATAATACCCCTATATATTTGAAAAATGGTTTCAAGAAATGAACATTGTATCATTATGTAAATTTTGTTAGTTGAAACTGCACTAATGAAAAGTTTATTATCAATCGAAAAAATATTGCGTTTTTCCCTGCTTGATATATGTATGCAATTCTCACAAAATAACTTTTTTATTTGTTACATTTTCGAAAGGGTGTTACTGGAAACCCTGGGGAACATGGGTTAAGGGCACATGTGTGAAACTTGGACAACCTCAACCGTACAACAGCTGTCCATCGCCTCTACATCTGCCAGGGAAATACAAGTGCTATAGAACGCGTCAGTGTTATTGTGAAGGACGAGGTTACAGCGGTTCAGACTACTGTAGTGGATCTTCTAAAGAGACTGAATACAAAGCATGTTGCATCCCACCACCACCAACCCCACCCCCTCCAAGTAGGTGCACGTTTTACAATGTATTTGCAAGATTCGTGATTTAAACATAGCACATGATCCATGATATGTGCATGTTTTACAATGTATTTGCAATATTAGTGATTTAAACATAGCACATGATCCATGATATGTGCACGTTTTACAATGTATTTGCAATATTAGTGATTTAAACATAGCACATGATCCATGATATGTGCATGTTTTACAATGTAATTGCAAGATTCTTGATTTAAACATAGCACATGATCCATGATATGTGCATGTTTTACAATGTATTTGCAATATTAGTGATTTAAACATAGCACATGATCCATGATATGTGCACGTTTTACAATGTATTTGCAATATTAGTGATTTAAACATAGCACATGATCCATGATAATGTGCACGTTTTACAATGTATTTGCAGTATTAGTGATTTAAACATAGCACATGATCCATGATATGTGCATGTTTTACAATGTATTTGCTAGATTCGTGATTTAAACATAGCACATGATCCATGATATGACTCTGGAATATAACCTAATATATATTAAGAAGTTGCATATGTCTTGATTTTTAATACCAGTTGCTGAAAAAGAATTCTGGTCTTGTCTTCATCATAAATTTCAAGAAGATTGTGTAAATAGCACGAGAGTCTTTTTGGTATGGGAAATCATTTTTGACCAAAGATGAAACTTATTATATTACAATTAACAATGGTTAATCGTTTGCATTGGTTTACCTTAGAATATTCGCTCGAGCTTCAATATAATATTTGGACAATATACATGCTCACAAAATATAAAGACATATTAAACTTTCCGATTTCTTAAATTCTTCAAGAATGGTGTAAAAACGAACGTATTTTAAACTTAGTAGAAGAAATGTGTTTTGGTATTCAAAAGTTTATTAATCGTTTACAAATAGGTATTTTCAATATTGATTTAACATTTTCCACCTTGGTTCAATTAAACAATTGATGATAAACGATATGTCATTTTAGGAGCTGATAGACTATTTTTCTGAAATATTGTATGCGAATGTTCAGTTCTATTGAGGTAATTTGATAATCAGCGTAAGTCACGTGACTTTCGCTGAATATCGCTTGTTTTTAGTCACGTGTAGGACATAGACCAATCATAGAGTGAAGAATATAGAGTGATATAATAACATGAAATATCACTGGCTGTTACTGTTCAGCCAATACAGCTGATTACTAGGTGATTACTAAGAGTGAGACCCCTCAAATATTATGCAATACAATTGTTAATTTTATATGATGAAAAAGAAATAATGATCATTACATTTAAAGAGTGTTACTGGGAATCTTGGGGAGATTACACACCATATGGAGCATGTGTTGAAAAAGGATTACCGTCGACGCCGCAATGCCATAAACCCGGTATTTCAACATGCTATCGAACCCGACAATGCCGCTGTACAGTACCTGGATATCATGGTCCAGGATATTGTAGTGGATCTTCAAAAGAATATAAAAGAAAACCTTGCTGTATAAGTAAGTACAGATGATAGAATATACAATTTAGGTGTAATGGTTTTTACGGAAGCAAGACCAAGCGTTTCTTGTAGTTTTAAATCATGGTTAGAGAAGCGAATGATGTTTTATTTAAACTGCAGGAATTATACTCGTACTAACGTCAGCATCTCAGTGAATAAATTTCATCAAAACTGTACATCTAGAAAATCGATTTCATTTCATTTTGAGACACAGTATTGTTGTTAGTTTCTACATAATTCTACATGGTTCGGTAAAATATAACGCGTAGCATAAACATTTATGCCACGTGTGATTACAAGTTCTTCTCGAAAGTCAATTTCAAAATTGCCATCAATTCAAAAATGGCCGCCATTCTTTGTCAATTTTACACTATTTTATGTACGACATATACAAGTGTAATATTAATATGTTGGTGTTTTGGTCTTTGATTGTGATGTTAGTCATTGTTTCTATTCATGGTTTTTGGAGAAATGAGGTTTGTTTTTATGTCACCACCAAGTTTTGAAATATTGTTATGTTCTCCTTCTTTGTGACAGCGTCCGGCTGTTGGCGGTTGGTGTCTGTAACAAATTTTTACAACTTCCAATAACTAAAAAATACTGTTTAGACTGACTTCATTGTTTTAAGTCATCTACAAGTTCTCAAAAATTCAAATCTGACTTTTGATTTGAGATTTGACCTTCACTGACCTTCTCAAGGTCAAGAAAGGTCAAAAAGGTATATTTTCAACTTGCTTCAAATAAATCAATTTTGTTCTTCAAATTATTTATAAGTTCTCACCAGCTCAAATCTGACTTTAGATTTGACCCTCAATGACCTTCTCAAAAAAGGTATTTTTCAATTCTCTTTCAAATGACTTTTTCAAAATTATCTAAAAGTTTTCAGAAGTTCAAATCTGGCTTTTGTTTTTAGAATTGAGCAAGACGGTGGTGACATTTTGTCATGTTAATGCCTTGTTATGATTGGTATACACTTCGATTTTGACTTTTATTGCTAGGTTCCATTAAAACGTTTGGTCCTTTCCCGTTGGCACTTGTGCTTAGATATTTTGAATGGAAAAATATACAGTATATGTATTAATTTTAGAATATATCTATTTAAAAATATGGTTGCCATCTTGAAGAAGGCGGCCGTTACATGCTATTTTACGCTTTTTGCTGTAACTGGAAAAATAGTAGTGCAATTTTGTTTATACTTGATATATGAATCACCAGCAGGGCACATTATTTTATGATACATTGGCATTTAACGTTTTTTCTTTAACTCAAAAAGTAATGGAGCAATCTTGTTGAAATGTTATATGTGTACTTAAACATATAACATTTTCTTATTTCAATTTGGCTAGTGGGTTTCCATTTGTCAATTTTTGTCGATTTTTGATATAACTGAAAGGTCAGTGTAGGGATTTTGTAAAAAATTAGCAGCCATTGTTGCTGTTCGATGGGATTATTAAATCTGCATGTTTGAAAACTCTTTTAGCAATATGCTATCCTCCCCAACCTTACGCACCAGAAAACGGAAGAAGGGCTGAAGGCAGTGATACTGAACCATATTACGTTGGGGAAGTGATTAGATTCGTATGTAACATCGGTTATCCGATCGTCGGGAAGGACAGTATAAAATGTTTAAGTAATGGACAATGGGATGGTCCTGTCCCAACTTGTAGTAAGTTTCAAATGTTGTCATTTCGTTAATATTTTCCTTAGTTTAGTTTCACAAATAAATGTACATTATTGTAACAGTTTGGCCTATTTTTGTGGATATACGTGGTAGCGTGGCTAATAATAGGCCCACTGTTTAGTAAACGGTGTTTACTTGGTGAGTTACACGGCACACGTTAAATGTGCGATTGTCCCTAAAGAATTAAACAGACATACAATTAAATATAAAATATAAAACAGTATATTGCGGCGTTTATTAGCCCAAATAAAGATGTACATAAAATTTCAAGTCTAATTGTAAGAGTGTTACGATTTTAATATCTCTCTCAAAACTCACAACTCAAAAGTCCATATAAGCTAATATTTATCACTAATAAAACAATATCCAGAGTCCATATAAACTAAAGTTGATGATCACTATATATCACTGTTGTATCTCCAATACTAAGTCCATATATGTTGTAACACTTGTAAGTCTTGTATTGTACTTGTAACTTGAACCTGAAATAGTAATCTCCTGGATCCTCTTCAATGTAGTGTAGTATGATTCAAATTTGATGATATGAAATCATCTAAGTCAACCAGCGGCTCTGCAAATGTCTATCTCTTGGATCCTGTCAACTATTGCTCAGTAAACGGCTATCTCCTGGATCCTCTTCACTGTATTGTAGTATAATTCAGCTTTGATAATGTGAAATCATCAAGTCAACTATCGGCTCGGTAAATGGCTATCTCCTGGATCCTCCTCAATGTGTTGTAGTATAATTCAACTTTGATTATGTGAAATAATCTAAGTCAAACTATCAAGTCTGGAAACGACTATCTCTTGAATCCTCCTCAATGTGTTGTAGTATAATTCAACTTTGATTATGTGAAATAATCTAAGTCAAACTATCAGGTCTGTAATCGACTATCTCCTGGATCCTTCTCTCTGTGTTGTAGTATAATTCAACTTTGATTATGTGAAATAATCTAAGTTAAACTATCACAGACTATCTCCTGGATCTTCCTCAATGTGTTGTAGTATAGTTCAACTTTGATTATGTGAAATAATCCAAGTCAAACTATTGACTCTGTAATCCTGGATCCTCCTCTCTAAGTTGTAGTATAATTCAACTTTGATTATGTGAAATAATCTAAGTCAAACTATCAGTTTTGTACACGGCTATCACCAGGATCCTCCTCAATGTAGATGTATATTCTAACTTCAATGACACAAGATCATCAAAGTCAAAATATCTCGCTGGATAATCTGCTAAGTCCTGGAACGTCCTCTCTGTAGATGTATATTCTAACTTCAATGACCCAAAATCATCAAAGTCAAAATATCTCGTTGAATAAACTGCTAAGTCCTGGAACCTCTTCTATGTAGATGTATATTCTAACTTCAATGACCCAAAATCATCAAAGTCAAAAATATCTCGTTGAACAAACTGCTAAGTCCCAGAACCTCTTCTCTGTAGATGTATAAGTCAAAACTATCACAATCTTCAAACTACCAAGTCCAAGGACATCTAAACACGGCATCAACTGCTAAGTCCATGTAGCCTGCTTTCTTCACAATTAAATAATAAGGCTACCTACAAATATAGCATGCACACAACGACATATGCAAAAATATAACATGTGAAAATATTTGACCTCTTAAATGACTAAGTTCATTTAATGTTAAGTGATACTGATATTAAAATATTCTAAGTTCAATATTTCTCTTTCCAAAAACAACAAAGTCCACAATAATATTTCACCAAATATTGACTAAGTTAATTTCATACTAAGTTATACTGATGTTAAAATATTCTAAGTTAAATATTTCTATCTCCAAAAATAACAAAGTCCAAAATAATGTTTCACCAAATACTGACTAAGTCCAATAATGTTGTAAATCGTCTAAGTTCCTTGATGATCAAAATAGCTTGTTTCTCAAACACAAGTTATGTCAGCATTTCCTCTCAGTCTATGAAGGCTGGACAATACGTCTAATGCTTTGCGCTGGGGATAGCTTCACCCTGTCGAAGTTTTGTCCAGTCTTGTAGATCTCCCTTACTTCCAGTGCGATAAATAAACTAAGTTTCACACACTTAGTTGCATCGAAGTTTCCCAAAAATCCAAGTTCCAAAATAAACTAAGTTTCGCACACTTAGTTTCCTCAATCTGCCCTTGTATACTGCAAACGTATAGCTTGGCTCATCAGATGTATTCTACTAAGGTACAGCTCTATCTTCCTGTGTATACTGCAAACGTATAGCTTCAAGACCAACTCAACAAAATCAACTAAGTTCTATAAAACTTAGAAGATTTTAGCTGTTTCCCGAAATTCCGCTCTGGAGGTCCTTCCTCGACAACATCTGGCATCGCACTAACGAGCCTTCAACAGCGAGATACTTATATAGGTCCGATGACGTCATCGATTTTCGAACAAGATTTCAACTGTGAATTACAGCTTATTTACGCCATATTTCGCTTCAATATTGATCATACTGTGGCAACCCAGGGTGTTGGGTAGCGTGGTCCTGGGTTACCCAGCTATCAAGTATCTGGATTTTTAATGGTCTGGCTTGATAATAGATTGTAAAATATTTGGGAATGGGGGTCTTTTCAAACACTGATCTATACCACATTCACTTTACACAATCATTCAACACAACAGAGAATGTAATGGGAAATTATATAAAATGAATATAATTCAACTCTATTTCAAGATATATACATTTGTTTGGTTATACAATTCTACATAGATTTACCGTCAGTTATGCAGAACAACAGAAAGTAACGTTCTTTTCAGTCAAATACACTTATGAAATTCAGTGTATCTAGGAAATTCAATGCATACTATAACGTAACTTGATATTCTTAATTCTGCCTGCCAGTTTTTCTCACTTGGTAAAATGACCTGTCTTATTAGTTCAATACAGGCAAAAGGGTTGTATTGTCATCATAAAAACAATACAAGATAAATTCTTAGAAGGGTTCTGAACGGGCTAAAATAGCCAGATACGCATCAATACAATGAGTACAGGCTTGTATCTCCTGTTCGGGATAGTAATAATGATCAAAAGTTTTCAGAAGGTGTTTACATATAATACAGATAAATGCATGGGAGCTGACTAAGACTAGGGGTTTGATTAGTGCAATGAAAATATAAAGGTGGTCGGATAGTCACTGTGTAGCAAATGGGACAAAAACTTAAGACAGTTATGCAAAATTCCAAATAGGATATTCTCACAGTAATTACAAAGGCACACAAAGATTTGAAATGCTGTGAGGCTTTATATTAGCAAATTAATACCAACACTGGCTATGCTTAGTTCCCTGGGACGAATAAGGGTATCAGCAAATTAATTGCCCTTGCTTACCCAAAATCAAACCCTGCCCGGGGGATGTTTTGAAATTAGGTAATGGAGTGAAAAATACAGCAATTGCTAGATTCCCTAAGAATTTCCAATATAAATGTAATCAATCTCAAGGAAAGTAAATAAAATATGCCCAGTGAAATCAATTGAGCGCTCAAAAGATGGTTATGCTGTGAAGCTGTTTTACAACTAAAAAATCGTAACTAGTCCATGCCTGATGATACTAACCAGGTGCAACACAGATCCCCTAAAGAGTGTCAGCAAATATGAAGATTGCCTTGATCACCCCAAACCAACTCGTCTCGGGAATATAAAGAATAGATTGTGTAATAATACTACATGTATAAAAGCTGTGGAACGGATAGCCAATGTTGCTCAGAGGTTTGCCGTTAACAATGTAATTCTCATATAAAGAGTGAATATTTTATATTATTGGTACAGTTAAATATGCAACGCTTGTTCAAATTCTTCAAGACTATGCTAGGGGGGGTTGTATCTTATTTCGAGAGCCACGCAGACTAACAGCGTAGCAGCAAATAAATTGCCATAGCTTAATTACGACAAATCAAACCCGACCTTGGGGATATATGGAATACATTAGGCAGTTGCAATATATATACAAGAACACAAATGTGTACAATATGTCCCCACCAAGTGGTGATCCCATGAAATGGTTATCCTGAAAATGAGTAGACAAGACTTTACTGACACAATTTGAGGACAGAAAGTCCAAAATGGCCGCCTTAAAATTTACCCAGAATCCCCAAAAATTAGCTAGTTCTAGATTTTCATACTAAGAACCACCCCTGAAAATTTGAAATTGATCCGTCAAACAGTTAAACAAGACTTTACAGACAAGATTTTAGGATGGAAAATCCAAAATGGCTGCCTTGACATTTACCCAGAATGTCAAAAAACTAATCAGTTCTAGATTTTCATACTAAGAATCATCCCTGAAAATTTGAAATTGATCTACCAAACGGTTCACCTGAAAACGCGTAGACAAGACTTTACAGACAAGATTTTAGGACAGAAAATCCAAAATGGCTGCCTTGACATTTACCCAGAATGCCAAAAAACTAATCAGATCTAGGTTTTCATACTAAGAATCATCCCTGAAAATTTGAAATTGATCTAACAAACGGTTCACCTGGAAATGCGTAGACAAGACTTTACAGACAAGATTTTAGGACGGAAAATCCAAAATGGCTGCCTTGACATTTACCCAGAACGCCAAAAAAACTAATCAGATCTAGATTTTCATACTACGAATCATCCCTGAAAATTTGAAATTGATCTACCAAACGGTTCACCTGGAAATGCGTAGACAAGACTTTACAGACAAGATTTTAGGACGGAAAATCCAAAATGGCTGCCTTGACATTTACCCAGAACGCCAAAAAACTAATCAGATCTAGATTTTCATACTAAGATTCATCCCTGAAAATTTGAAATTGATCTACTAAACGGTTCACCTGAAAACGTGTAGACAAGACTTTACAGACAAGATTTTAGGACGGAAAAAACCAAAATGGCCGACAATAAAAAAGTGATTACGAGTTTTTGCTGATTTCCTTTTACAAAATTATCACATATAACTACTGTTAACAATAACATAGGCTTTTTCAACAAAGTACACCTGGAATTATTT